AAGATTTTCAGCAAAAATTTCCAGGTTAGTATTATCCTTGTGGCTTCTCTAAGTTATTTTAGAATTTGGCATGTCGCTCTTGTCTTGGAGAAGTTTTAGATACTTACCATGGGTTAGCTATTGTTGGACATGGCATACTAACACAGGCGATGCTTTCAGGAAAAGAGGAGTGTCCGGCCTACTTTCTCAGCTGAGAAGATTTTTGGAGGAACCTTGTTAGCTATGTGTTCTAATGATTTCATTTGCTTTTATGATTGGGCTGAATGTAGGCTAATTCAACGGATTGATGTCACTGTAAAGGTAAAAATCTAGATCAGTTTCACTCTTAGACTTTGATATCAATAATCACGTTTTTCTGATTCTTGCTTTCAACGTTTGTAGGCAAGCTAATGTCATTATTTTCGGTCGATGTATCCCTTTCCCCACCTTTATTAACACACATTGTTGCCGTGAACCATTTGCAGAATCTTTATTGGGCTGATAGTGGTGATTTAGTAGCCATTGCTAGTGATACGTCATTCTACATTCTGAAGTACAACGTGAGGATCCTTTCCAACCTCAAAATCATTTAGGCTCTTTGGATTGTCCACTTATGCTTTCTTTGACCAATTACTATGTTTTATCTCACCATGTGTTGAATGCGTACTCTCGTTATTACTATTGCAGCGTGACTTGGTCTCCTCACACTTTGATAATGGAAGGCCAAGTGATGAAGATGGTATTGACGATGCTTTTGAGGTTCTCCATGAAAATGATGAACGTGTTAGAACAGGTATATGGGTTGGTGACTGTTTTATTTACAACAACTCTTCGTGGAGGCTCAACTACTGCGTTGGAGGCGAGGTATTACCGAAGTGTCATTGATAACTTAAAAATTATTTATGGTTTTATGAGCAAGCATAATCTTAACTGCCAATCTTTTAACAGGTGACAACAATGTACCATTTAGACCGGCCAATGTATTTGTTAGGCTATCTTGCTAATCAAAGTCGTGTATACTTGATCGACAAAGAATTCAAGTTAGTGCCTAGATTTCTAGTTTTAGTTCAGACTGTAATTTTAATTGTTTTAAAAATTTCTAACTTCTTGATTTTTTCTCTGCAAAATAGCGTTATAGGATATACCCTACTGCTTAGCCTGATTGAGTACAAGACTCTCGTGATGCGAGGTGATTTGGAAAAAGCCAATGAAATCTTACCCACAATTCCTAAAGAGCAGCATAACAGGTACACACTTGGTTTATTAGAGTTTTATACTTACTGGTGATTCTTTACTGCACTTTATCTTTTGTTGCATCGTCGCCTGATGTTTTAGTTTAATTTTTCCCATGTTTGTTTTTTGAAGATCACAGTGATTGTTTTGTGTCTGTGAATGTCTGTGTGACTACACTTGTATGCTTACCAAAACGGTTAGATATGAGGGGGTATTTTTGGTATTTCGTTTAAACTTGTTTGGAAAATGTTTCCAATACGTAGTGTTGCTCGTTTCTTGGAGTCACGGGGTATGATTGAAGACGCTTTAGAAATTGCCACAGACCCTGACTACAGATTCGAGTTGGCTATACAACTGGGCAGGCTTGAAATCGCAAAGGTAGTATGATACAGGGGTGATCATTCGTTTTTAGAAATACTTTTGACTACTTCGGAAGTAGCATCACGTTACATATTCTTGCTTTCCATTCTTGCAGGAAATTGCGGTAGAAGCCCAGAGCGAGTCTAAGTGGAAGCAGTTAGGAGAGTTAGCCATGTCCTCTGGAAAGGTATGTCTTCTCTTCATGTTTTCATCCTATGGTTTGTGATGGTAAACGGAGAAAGGTTGTCTGCAAATGATAATTTATTCAATTGTTCTGAACTTGTATTCAGAAAGGAGTTCATGTGTAGATCTTGAGATAGCACTAAGATTCATGCGTCTTCTCTAGTTGTTTCATCTCATTTATATGCACATTTCTAAGTTTTGTTTGTACGTGTTATCATGGCAGTTGCAAATGGCCGAGGATTGCATGAAGTGCGCCATGGATTTGAGCGGTTTATTGCTGATCTATTCCTCTCTAGGAGATGCTGAAGGGATTTCAAAACTTGCATCTCTTGCTAAAGAGCAGGGGAAGAACAATGTCGCCTTTCTCTGCCTATTCATGCTGGGTAAATTGGAAGATTGTCTGCAGCTATTGATTGAGAGGTAATTCTTGCTGTCCTCTTCTTAGTTTTGAAATCAAATTTTACGTGCCTAGTGTTGTCGGTAAAACTCTTCTTTTTCCCCTCCAGCAACCGGATACCAGAAGCTGCTCTGATGGCACGATCATATCTTCCAAGCAAAGTTTCTGAAATAGTTGCAATTTGGAGGAAAGATCTTAGCAAGGTTATTTTCCACTGTTTTTAGTATACTAAGATCAAAGTGGAAATATATGGTTTTAAAGTTACATTTACCTTTGTCTCCAGGTTAACCCAAAAGCAGCAGAATCTTTGGCTGATCCTGAAGAGTACCCAAATCTTTTTGAGGATTGGCAAGTTGCTCTTTCTGTTGAAGAAAAAGCTGCAGAGATGAGGTATTACTTGCACCCTTTTTGGATCCATTTGCCTTTTTTTTTCGAGTTGCATATTCTTGGGCGTATTCCTGTACAAATGAACATGACTATTATGTTCACTGGATGGATGCCCATATGACCATATCACATTCTTAGGCCACTGATTGTGACATGTCACTCTAATGAGTTGGTTCATGGCGGAAATATCTAAAACATTTCACTGGTACATAGCAACAAATTGACTGTTCTTCATCTTTAGGGGAGTTTATACTGCAGCAGAAAATTATCCAAGCCATGCTGATAAATCCCACATGACACTTGTGGAAACGTTTAGAAACATGCAATTTGAGGAAGAAGAAACGCTTGAAAATGGAGATGTCGATCATGAGGTGATTTCTTCAGCAGTTTTTTTCAGTTACATATTTCACAGCTTTCTACATTAGTAATGACATTACGTGTCTTTGCACAAGATTCACAAATAGCTTTCTCATATTCCTTCTATGCTTTGAGCTGTCTCTTATGCTTCACACGTTGACCACAAATAACTGTTTTGTTTGCATCTTTTGTGGGTTACCCATAAAGCTCCCGAAAATGGTGAAGTTTATGATGCAACATCCCGGTTCATTTCCATCAGGATCGTTCTTTAGAGTTTTTTTTATCATGCTGTTGCAGGCAGAGGAAGAGAATGGGCATGACGAACAGAAGGATGACGGGGAAGTAGAGGAACAGTATGAAGAAGGAGGGAATCTAGAAGAGGGAGTTGCTGATGCAGACTCAACAGATGGGGCAGTACTTGTCAACGGAAGCGAGGCTGACGAAGAGTGGGGTACGAATATCGAAGGCAACCCATCAGCCTAATTTTGTCTCTGGTGATTAGTTGATCCCCCATTGTTGCCCCCTTCTGACATATTTTTCCACATTTCAGTTCTATAAGATCATCACTACCGAAAATCTTTAGTATATCTTTATCACACACCTTAGTAAACATGCTAGTAACAACATGTTGTCTCTGTCTGTCTGTGTCGGGTTAGACTAGCAAAAAAAGTGTCACTAGGGTTTTCCAACAGTTCGATAATCGATTCTTCGGTTTTATGCATCTAACAGACATTTCTTCTCTTTCTTTGTTTTTTTTTGTCTTGGCAGTGCTTACACCGCATCACTAGTTTCAGTTTGGGAATGGTCGGCTTCCAACAGCGGCTGGCAAAAACTTAGAAGGTGAGAACTTCAATTCTTTGATGTGTAGAACTAAGGATAAACCGATACGGCCTCTACGAAAACCGAGGATCTGCAGAATCAGACAACGGTCTATGTCCCGTTTTTGGCCGTTGCATCGGAGCATAATGTACTGCTCATAGGTTCATTTTTGGATCCAAGTTCCTAATCTCTATCTACTCTCTTTCTGGATAAAATTCGAACCACAGGACTCTGTTTCTCGCTACTGGAGACAGAAATATGAGATTGGTAAGAACTGGCGATTTCTTCTGTGTGTGTGTGTGTTTTTTCTTACAAAGGTGATGTGGTCTTTGGACAGGGTCGAGTTTTTTGCAATTGATACAATGATACATATATCATAGAGAGTACAATTTCTGATTTTCCTGTAAAATGATTTCTCTTTTATGTCATTTCTGATGCATATATATATATATATATTATTCTTTCAATGCCCCTCTCTCTTCTTCTTTTTTTCACGCTTGGATTTCTTGTTAATTCGTACCATTGTGAATGTCCACAAAATTTTTTTTTTTTGTTATTTACGATTTTCTTTTTTTTTCATCTTTCTAACAAAAATAAATTATTTTGATCGCTACATCTAGACAGACACTAAGTGGGTTTCAAATGCAGTGAAAGTGTTGTGTTTGTAGTATGAGGAAAATAAGGTCATAAACGCCACGTTGTTGGTCATAGTAAAATCGGAATTTCATAGTGGTGGTTAAAAGTAGGGAAGACATATTAGTTGTTATATATATATATATATATATATATATAATTAATTAAATCAAATAATATAATTTTGTTTTATGATAACAAATCATAGAAAATTTTTAAATTATAAAGAATATTATCTATAAACACAAGTAAATAAATAATGCAAGTTATCACGACTTTTGTACTAATAACAAAATTTGGTAAAGTAGTTACTTAATTCTAAAATCAAGAACATTCTTTGAATATTTTTGGGTTTTGAAATAAATAATCTTGTAGACTTAAACTTTGAAAAATATACTTAAAATTAAAATTTATAATAGTTTAAGAACTCCGATCTCTACAATTTATGTTTTAATATTTAATCTTTAGATCCATGAAATGAAAGAAGTTGTTTTACTAAAATTTTGAAAAATGATTGCTTAATCAATTAAATTGAAAAAATGCTAGTTCTGCTTTCTGTAAAAAAAAAAAAGTGTATTTAAATCCAACAATTTCACGTATATTACTCGGCAATGTTCGTAAAAGGCAACAAAAAAAAAGGTTTCCTTCCATCGTTTTTTATTTTTGTTTTATTTTATTTTTTTGAAACTTATTCGGCCCTCTCTACCTTCTGGGTCTCTCTGGCCTGTTCAGCTGCTCCTCTCCGGCTTTAGGGTTTTTCTGCTACTTTTCCTCGTCGGTAAGTCTCTCTCTTTCTTCACCGGCGTTAATGTTTTTCATTTCCCGGATCTTAGGACCTGCTGTTATCTGGGTGCTCCTTCGTTATGATTCTGGGATTGCAGATTCGTTTGCCGTATCCGTTGGATTTCTTGAACGGTTCATATTATATGACATGGGTTTAGAGATTTATGGATTCTTTGTTTAATCTTGCTGCTTTTGTTCGAGGAATTAGCAGTCGCGTTGGGTTTACGCAGTTACTATACCTTATGAGATTCATAATGTTGAGCTCGGTGGAAGCATCGGGGCCTTCAATTTTAGGGTTTTAGATCGAAATTGGGTTTAGGATTTGTTGTGGTTCTTGCTTTCCCCTTTCTGATTTTTATGTGCTAATCAATGGCTTTGTTGTTTGGTGTCTATATACTTTCCATTTGTTCGGAGTATTGATCGTTTATCCGCAATTCAACCATCTCTGTTTTTTGGGGTGATAATAATCATAATACTTTGTTCTGCTCATCTTAATCAGGACTTTGGCTATTTATCGATTACCATTTCGGTGGCATTTCAAAACTTTTGTTCTCTTGTTTGAGCTTCCCATTGTATTTTAAGGTCTTTATGTGGCGAGATATGTTAATGCGAAGAGACACTGGCTTCTATGCTGTGCAATCTAAGATTGTTTCGGTTTCTTTCTTTTTCAATTTACATTTTAGCCTTCACCCGAAAGTGGGTGTTGATTATCAGTTCTTATCATTTGATATTTTTTCTCTTCTGTTTAGGTGTTCTGGTTTGTCAAGATCTGTTTTCAATGGGGGAATCGGAAAGTGCTCAGCAATCAAAAAAGAGAGCTGCTGTGAAGGAGCTGTCTCGTGACAATCCCGGTCTTGATGATGAGGAAGATTCTGCTGAGCTTGAGAGTGGAACTTTCAAAAGGGCCAGTGATGAGGTATTGGCTAGCAGAAGAATTGTCAGAATTAAGCGTAAAGAGGCCCCAGCAACAATGTCATCATCCAATCCGTTTGCTGGAATTTGCTTGGTCCCTCCTACTGGACCTTCTGCGGAAACAAATTCATCCCTGGCTGAATCAAAATCAGCTGAAGCCACGGTTGAAACAGTAGCTGAGGCCGAAAAACCAGCACCAGATGATCAAAGAACTGATGGTATCAAAGAGAATAACGCTGAAGAAATTAGTACGGGAGATGATGCTGAATCTAAATGTAGTGAGGTAAATGATCAGGAAACTGGAAAACCGATGGATCAAGTTACTGATGCTGCTGCAGACAATTGTAACACTGCTAAGGAGACAGACCAAACTGGGGATGGTAGCGAAAAGGAATCAGTTGATGATCAGACCAAGAATGAAGAAAAGAAAGAAAACAGAAGTGAAAATTTGGACAAGAATGGAGATGGTGGATCTTTGAGCTCATTTCAACAGCATTCAAGTACCAAAAATGCATTCACGGGACTCGCGGGGACGGGTTTCTCCAGTTCATCATTCTCATCAGGTCCTTTTTCTCAGGAGGGTTGTACCGGTTCTGTCTCTCTCTTTGGACAGAAGACTGACCAGCCATCTTTTAGTTTTGGTAACGGTAACTCATCTTCCCTTTTTGGGGCCTCTGCTACATCCGTTATCACGACCAAGAGTGAGAGCAGTGCTGCCTTCCCGCCAAAGCAGGAGGTTTCAGTGGAGACGGGAGAAGAGAACGAGAGAGCGGCCTTCTCAGCAGATTCTGTACTTTTCGAATATATTGATGGGGCGTGGAAGGAAAGAGGGAAGGGAGAAGTGAAGGTAAACGTCTCCATTAGAGGCGGGAATGGAGGAAAGGCGAGGTTAGTGATGAGAGCAAAGGGCAACTACAGGTTGATCCTAAACGCGGGTCTCTTCCCAGATATGAAACTGACAAACATGGACAAGAAAGGGATCACCTTTGCATGTCTGAACAGCATAGGCGATGGCAAAGACGGCCTCTTGTCCACATTCGCCCTGAAATTTAAGGATCCTACGACTGTGGAAGAGTTCCGTACTGTTGTCATGCTGCATAAAGAGGGTAAACCAGTCGAGGCAGCTCCTTTGAAAACGCCTGAGAACTCCCCATAATGCTGCTGCTGCTTCAGATCAACAAAAACAAAAAAGAGGTAAAGAGTCTAAAGACACATGAATCTCTCTCTACTTTCTCTTCTTGTCTGTCTTGTTGTCGTTTGAAGTTAAAATTTTGTTCTGTTGGTTTATTATCACTGAGGCAGAAAGAGAACAAAAATGGAGAAGTAAGCTTTCCTTGTTTTTTTTTTTCTTTCTAAAACTGAAGTCTGTCTTTGGACATGTGTAGGAGGAACAGTTATATGTGGGTGTCTTTGTATGAAGTCCGTACTGCTCTACTTTCTTTGTCACTGTTTACTTAGTTATTTGTAACCTAATTGAATTTGACATAAAACTAAGTGGTTATTATTATTTTTAAAAATCTAAAAATTCAGCCAACCAAATAAAAGAATACCAAAATAATTCAATTTTTTAGAAAATGAATTTTTATCAGAGCTGTAAATCAAATCAATATCCATAAGAAAATATGGATATGAGATGAGAAGCTAAATGCTTTAATTCGGCTAATATTGAAAACGAGTCAAACCCGATTTGTGATCCAACTTTTTTTTATTATAATCAAATGGGTTATTTTTTAAAATAATGGAACCAAACCGAAATGCAATTTGGTAAGATTCTTGAAAACCGAACCGTACATGCCCAGAAATAAATCCCCAAACAAGAGTAAAACCCGAAATAGTTGGGCCTTTTAAATTCAGATAGTTAGTCATAAAGCCCAATAAAATAGATATTACAAATACCCATAAAAAAATAAAATAATTTTACTTGTTTCGGTCGCATGGGTTGAAGTGTGACAAAATTATTATTTTTTCTTTTTTAAAATTTTTTCTAATGCGAACGAACGTATTCCAGAAATTGTTTCCGCTTTTCACTATTACTTTATTAATTTGTATAATAGACAAAGTTTTGAGTTGTCACGTGACCAAATTCGGATACAAAACGCAGAGCCATCTCAATCATTTCAGGACCCTTTCGATTTACATAAAAAAATATATATTAAAATTTAATTTAAGTTTATTAAATATAATATAAAATTAATATAAACCATTGTATTTCAATATAATATAACTAAATAAAATAATATTAATAAATGAGATTATTTGAATAATATAATTTTTTCAATTTTTTTTGAATTTAAAATATCAATTAAATATTTATAATTAATCTTGGATTTTGCATATCTGCCAATGACCTCCATTAAAGATATTGATTTTACAGAAATAAATAAAAATAAAAAGATTTCTCCGTTCAAGTTGACAGGAGTAGAGTGGGTCCATTTCGTGGCATTTAAAGCCTTTTGGCGAGGAGTTTGATTCTTTTCCATAGTACGTGTGCCACTAACATTTTTTAATTAATTATTTAATTAACGTAAAAACTCTAAACTTTCTAACATGTATTAATATTATTTAAAAAATTGAAATATACTATTGCTATTTCACATTCTTGAGAGAGTTTTTTCTGAACCGTTTTGTAATACAAATATATGTATTACCATATATGTATAGGAAAAACAAGTCATGAAAATGTTTTAAATAAATTTGATATACAAATAGTAAAGTATCTTATCAATAGAAAATGATTTATTTATTGAAATAATTCCATGGGAGGGTCCATTGATGTACGACTTTACAGTTCACATTCTGCTTTGATTACAGACACCATGAGTGACAGTGGTTTTCTATTCAATCTAAGATTCGAATTCCACTATGCGTCTGTTCATAAGTGTATATATATATATGGAAGCCTTGATTGGACGTTGTTATTGTATATATTCTATATAATTGACAAATATATATGTATATATATATATGCTACAAACGAAAAAAAAAAAAAAGATAAAAAATAATGTCTTTATTATTTATGGTAAGTGTGATTGATTGGAGCGTGGGAACCATTCGTGAAGGTGCATTTAGTAGAATTGTATATACAATATAATTTTTTTAATAAACCTTTTACTTTATCTTAGTTTCATTTTAACTTCAGACGTTTTATCTAAAATTCATCATATATATATGTGCATGTGAATATATACGAATATATACTATATGTTATATATGTGCACTTTAATACTGTTTTCGAAAGCATAATAATTTTATAAAATCAAGACAAGAAAAAATGGGGGAAAAGATTTCTTTATAAATAGTGCAATGCAGCTTTCACTTTTTTCTTTTTTCCTTTTTCAAGACAACTTCAGATATTTACAATTTGACTGGCATTATATATACGAATATATACTATATATTAGATAATTTTAGGATTTTATAAAAATTAAATATACCTTTAAATATTTTGTACAAAGTATCATAATAATAAAAATTAAAATTCATAATTTAATTTCTACTATAAAAATATGTGTACCTCTATTTATGCTCCACTCGTATAAGATGTATCAAATTGTATGTTTTCATACCCTTTTACAAAAAAAAATATATGTATCCGGGATTTGAAAAAGTTAAATTTTTGCTATTAGTAAGTCCAATTTTTTTTAAATATAAAAAACATTTTATATTTACGGGAATATTACTTTGAACCCTAATTATAAATTGCTAAGGCTATATAAAATCATATCCGTGAAGAGATCATATACTTGAGAGGAGATGTCTGATTTGTAAGTTCGGTACAACGAAATTACGAGTTCTGCCCTTACAACGAAGTCTCATATGTCACGTTTTTCTTCTCTTCTCGAGTTGGTTAAACTTCTAACCAACGGAGACAGAAAGGGCCGTTGGCCTTTTCCCCTCCTCCGCTACATTATCCCCTACTTTTTTTTTTTATTTTTAAATTACTTTTCTTTATAAACCTATTCTCGTCATTTTACATTTGAAGTTTTTTTTCTTCTCTTTTTCCGCGTTCCAATTTTGTTTCATTTCTGAAAAAAAAAATCAAATTTTACAAATATGTGGAAATTATTAAATGTTACATAAACCCACAAGTTTAATTTTAGATATAATAAAAAAATTATTTGATATTTTCTCGATTTGTAAGGAAAAGTATTAAATTGAGATATTTTTATTCTCAAAATTTGTGATTTTAAGATTTAGAAACATTGTAAGTATTCAAGCATTTAATTGAAAACTTTTGTTTGGTAAACTAAATTGATAACTTTTTATTTAACAAAAAAAAAAACTTTTGTTTTTTAGTTTATAGTATTTGTATCATTTTACTACACATAGGTCGTAAGGCTCCAACATGTTTTTTTTTGTCCCACGGTTATATAGTAAACACTCATTTTCTTAATATATGTTTTTTTTTTGTATGTAATACATTGGGAACCCGACTGCTATCTTTCGGATGTGCTGATCGAGTAAATCCAAATCCACACGCACGAGCTTGCAATATATGCGTGGGAGGTAAATCAGCCGTAATGGATAGACGATAGATGGGCAGACAAGGAGTCAAACCCCCAACCTCTCGATATGTTGACCATGCTTCTTGTCAACTCACGTTTCTCGCTTATTTTGCTTATTTTTCATGTTTCCTTTTTTTTATGTGCCTCGTTACTGTAAATGCTTTTTTAACACAATTTTTGTATATAAGTTTATGATCTGCCCATTTATTTGGGATGTCGCGATTTTCTATAACCTTAACGTAGACAATTACTCTTTCTTATTAAATTATATATATATATATATATATATAACCTTAATATACAATGGTTTTGATTTGGTACGGAAATAAACGGTTCAATCACTGAATACTTGTGATATGAAATACATTAATATGTAAAACGTGATTGACTTCCACGTAAATAGTGTGTTCACATTACTCAAATGTATCAACTGCTAATATAAAAGTTGTTAATTGTGTAACCAGATAAAACCTTAGTGTTTATTTTAGTTTTTAAAATTATTTCGTTATTGTATAGTATTATTAAAAAAACATAATGTTTATAAATGACCATTGTCGCAAACGGTCATATTATTATATAATGAAATGACAATATAGGGGACAAAATGTCAAAATCTAAACCAAAATCTAATTTTACGAAATTCGTTGCAATAGTTTGTTGTGGCAAATTTTAATAACCATAGGACTTGGAGGGATTCGAGGCAATTTTTTTTTTAAATTTCTTTTCTGAATTAAAGGCCATTAAAGCCTTAAACAATAATTGTACAAATTCATTTACTCGTTGTCAGTAACTTCAATTTTCTCTTTCTCTTCATTCATCCGTAAATATTTTTTCTTTTCTTTATTAAAATCGCTTGGCCGTAAATATTTCGATTAAATTATTTTCGGTTTTCTGTTTTTTCCATTCTATGAAAGCTATATATATTCCACTTTCCTATCAGCTTTTTGTTTTATTAATTTTAAATAATTACTTAGTTTTTAAATATTAAAAAACATTTTTATTCAATGCCAGAATTTCAGTAACTGGATTGGAAAATAATATTTAATCGAATTTTAGATTCTTTTAACCTTTTTTTTTTCATAATCACGTGCTACACGTGGTGTATCTTCTTTGTAACCATTTAACAAACACATTCGAAATAACTCGTCTAATTTGTAACCAAAGGTGGCCCCCACTCTTGCTCTTACACACTAAATCCTCTCTCTATATAAGCACCTTCCCTTCTCCCATCCTTCACTCATCACTTAGATCTTTCTTCTCTTCACTAACAAAAAAACCAGAGTTTGCAGAACAAAAACAAAATGAGTGATCAGAGGCATCAGCTGTTAGGGTGGCTTCTGTTAATCGGCCTTGTCTGCTCTCCGACCGCATTCGCCGACGGCCCTGTCTGTCCCAAGACCGAGACTCTTAGCCGGGCAAGCTTCCCCAAAGGCTTCATCTTCGGTACCGCCACTGCTTCGTATCAGGTCCTTCTCCTTCTCCATCACTATACATACTCTGTTTTCTTTCGCAATGTCATTCTGTTTTTACGGTGTTGCTCTGTTTTTTTTTATACTGACCCTTTTCAATTTTATTTTGGGCTGTGATGTTAGGTTGAAGGTGCGGTCGACGAGGGTTGTCGAGGTCCGAGCATGTGGGACCTCTACGCCAAGAAATACCCACGTGTGTCTCTCTTCCATGATTCTCTCGTTCTTCGATCCTGTTCTTCGAGTTGTACAATACAAGAACCATATATACCGGTTTTCATATTGTGTTGTTTTTTTTCAGACAGATGCAACAACGATCACGGCGACGTTGCCGTCGATTTCTACCATCGTTACAAGGTATATGCTTATATTTCTTGATTACTCGTTCAATCACCGCCATTTGGAGGTTTCTAATCGTTCTTTCTTGGTTTTCCACGTTTTAAATCTTGCAGGAAGATATACAGTTGATGAAGAAGATGAACACTGACGGGTTTAGGCTCTCCATTGCGTGGCCCAGAATATTTCCCCGTGTGTTTTCTGCGGAATATCTTTGATGGTTATTGTGCATTTCTATTTATTATAATGCCTAATTATTTGTATATGTAATAACAGATGGGAGGATGGAGAAAGGAGTGAGCAAAGCTGGGGTTCAATTCTACCACGACCTCATCGATGAGCTCCTTGCAAATGGTCACTTCTTCTATATCATAAACACACATACATCGTCCCATAGACAACGTTATGTATACTGACTCCATGAAACTTATAATTCAATTGTTCAGGCCAAACACCATTAGTAACAGTGTATCATTGGGACATTCCCCAAGATTTGGAGGACGAATACGGTGGCTTTTTGAGCGAGCGCATTGTGTAAGCAGCACTCTCTCTCCCACTCTCTCTCTCTCTCCCTCTCTCTCTCTATCTAATGTTGAAACTCATTGCATAACAGCAAGGATTTCGCGGAATACGCGAACTTTCTGTTCCAAGAATACGGGGGCAAAGTGAAGCACTGGATCACATTGAACGAGCCATGGGTGTACAGTCGAGCGGGTTACGATATCGGGAAGAAAGCACCTGGTCGTTGTTCTAAGTATGTTAAAGACGAATGCCAAGATGGGCGGTCCGGATACGAAGCTTACATCGTCAGTCACAATTTGCTCTTAGCCCACGCAGAAGCCGTTCACCTATTCAGACAGTGTGAGAAGGTATATAGACATATATATATATATGTGTGTATATATATTACAAAATCCGACATGTGCATATTATGGTATCATCTTTCTTGTTTTTTGTAATGAATATGGTTCGTGAAAATACAATTTTTTTACAGTGCAAAGGTGGTAAGATTGGAATTTCGCACAGTCCGGCTTGGTTTGAACCAAGCGATCTCGAGGGAGGACATCAAGATCTTACCGTTGACCGTGTTCTTGACTTTATCCTTGGATGGTAAGTCTAACTCTGAATCTTTTATGTCGTGAATCACAATCACAGTTCATGCATAATTGGTGGTTTGTTGTCGTATGGGACGATTTTTACAAATACGAAATTAGGGTTTTTCTAGTATGATAAGATTCATTACCGCTATAACAATAACTTTACAAATATTTTCAGGCATCTTGCTCCGACAACGTTCGGAGATTACCCGCAGAAGATGAAAGATCTCGTAGGGTTCAGACTTCCGAGGTTTACGGAAGAACAGAAGAAGAAACTCGCAAACTCTGCTGATTATGTCGGAATCAATTACTACAGCTCGTTCTTCTCAACCCACAACGAGAAACCTGACTTCTCGAAACCAAGTTGGCAAGCCGATTCTCTCGTCAATTGGGACCGTAAGCTTTCATTGCATATGGAATTTAATTTCAGTTTTGTTCCAACACTTCGGTAACGGCGGAAAACGTTGCAATTCCGTTGCCCGTTCGCTCATTGACGTACGTTTCGAATCCCTTGCAGCTAAGACTGTGGACGGAACTAGCATTGGTAGCATGGTATGCAAATTCCCTACTCTCTATGATATATTGAAATTATAATTTAATTTTCTGGTTAATTATTTGAATATATAACATTTCTTTTGTTTTATTTCGTTTTCAGCCTTCCACCGCTAAAATGGCTGTGTACGCAAGAGGTTTGAGAAAGCTTATGAAATACATTAAGGACAACTATGGCAACCCCGAGATCATGATCACTGAGAACGGTAATTAATGAAAATTTTGTACAAGTTTATCATCTCACATTATTACGAAGATGACGATATTTAATTATTACTGTTGTTATTGTTTATTTTTAATTATTTGATTACAGGATATGGAGAGGATCTTGGTGAAAACCACCACAATCTCGAAGTTGGAATCGCTGACTACAACAGGAAATACTATCTGCAAAGGCATCTCTTGAGCTTGCACGAAGCCATTTGGTGAGTCCACCATGCATAGGTTATATATATATATATATATATATATATCTCATTGATGGGTCGGTTCTGATCGAATGATTTTGTCGTGTAGCGAGGACAAGGTGAACGTCACGGGGTACTTCGTGTGGTCGATGATGGACAACTTCGAGTGGCAAGACGGGTACAAGGCTAGGTTCGGGCTCTACTACATCGACTTCAAGAACAATCTGACTCGCCACCTCAAGGAATCCGGCAAGTGGTACACCAACTTCCTCAAGCAGGAACTTCCAAAGAAATCGGAGCTCTGAGATGAGAGTCTTGAGTTCACACTCGGACACAATCTTCGATGTCTTAAATAACTAAATTATCCAAAAAAAAAAACATTCGAGGATTGATTCGGTCTTGTCTGTGTTTTCCCCCTTCCTATGTTTGATTCGGTGATCTCGGCGTTTGTAAGAGCGAGAAAGACGACCACGCTTTCGGTGCTCTTTCAGTTTTCTTAGTATTATAATAAATGCTCTCTTTTGCATTAAATGTTTCGTTCTCATATATACCGTAAACGCCCCATTCCGATTTCTTAAAAACCATTGCTTTACATATATATATATATATATATATTCAAAGAAAAGGACTAAAAAAGACATACATTTTACTAATTTTTTCTTTTTTTGGAAAAAAAAACCCCCATTAATTAATTGATTGACCTTTGACGTATCAAACTTTTTATAAAGGAGATAAATTAAGGATTTGTACTTAAAAAAGAAAAAGGAAAAGAGAATCCAAAGGCATCATTCGCTTTCAGAGGGAAAGACTTCGAGTACGGCTTTATTTCAATAGTAGTTTCAGACATTAAGTTCGTGTGTCCATGAGAACGGCTTCGCTCAATATGGACGACATTAGTGTCGACACGGGCCGACATGTCTCGTTTGCGAGCTGGTCCAATACCACCCGTGGCGTGTAATACGAAATCTCATTGCAAGTTGTCCTGTCCGTTACAAAAATAGGATTATATATATATAAAATTTTAAATATGACTCCGGTTCGAATTCGTATACTCGGCTATGGGTTCTCCCGTTTTCTCATAGATCTCTTGTTTGTGAATTGGAGATGGTGATAACATGCTAAGTTTCGTTTCGTAACACCTTGTGTTCTATATTGACACTCCATAATATGTATACATTTAACGTGTAAATTATGTATATGCACGATAACTTTTTCCCTAAATCATTAGTGTAATTTGATAATCTTATGAAATAGGAAAATTATCCGAGTAAAAGGGTATAATTGGATTTTTTTTTAAAAAAATGGGATGAATATTATTTTTTGAAAGGGGATCTTATTTGATGAATTGGAAATATGTCAATTTTTTCCACCTTAGCCTCCTGAAAATAGTTTCTCTCACGTTTTTTTTTTTCGTCGTCTTGAGTTAGTTATCATTCTAACTAAAAATAAAAATGGAAGCCTTTTATTATATATTTTTTTTTGTCGTTTTAACGATTTATTCTTTGACGTTTCATTTTTAATAATTTTTTTTCTAAAAAATTCACTAAATTTTTGGACTAACTATATTCACATAAATTTTTCTCTCCAAATGAGGACTCGAATTTATTGGGAAAAAGTTTTATCACATCTCTTACCCAATAAAACCATCTGATCTTGGATAAAATTAGTAATAATATTTTTATAACTATATTTAAACATTGCTTTTTATATAGAGATGTAAATCACAATTTATTGAAATATAGAATTATAAAATATATGGAAAGTTTTATATAAAATAAAATAAATGAATTAATTACCCTTTTATAAGAAAAGTATAAATGGAAAAAAAATATTGCCGGAATACGACAAATCGTTAAGGCAGTGATGCTATTTGTCGAACGTTCAATACTTGGAGTGGATGATAGACCTAATTCTCCTTTGTAACTAACTCACGTGCTTTTTTTTTTGGGACAAAACTCACGTGCTTTTATTTCACCATTTTGTCTTTTCCTTTAAATGAATGACTATTTTGTCATACATATATATACTGAAGAAATGCATGAATAATGAATTATACAAGTTGTGAATTTTGTATAAACATCAAGCCGCTTATATATATATATATAATATTAATATAGTAAATCATATATAGTAAGGTAAAAAAGAAAAATATACGTAGCAATATAAATGAAAAAGAACAAAAATCTGCTTTACACAGTCGAGACACTGATGAGGTGAATGTAATTACTATTAGATATATTAAAAAATAATTTAAATTATTAACGTAATATTATATAAGTAGTTTCTGTCGTGAAAATTCTCCATAATTCTCAACTACTTCGCTTTATCATTCAAATCTTTATTTTTCTACAATCCAAACCCTTGGCCTCAGGAAGAGGCTTTCAATGGCCTTCCCCCACAACTTCAAATGGACAGGGCCCATGCAGATTTATTTTTTTGTCTATAGATTTAATATGTTCGTGCGCAAGTTAGAAAGAATAATACCACTTGAAAATTCAGAAAAAAGAATATGTATTTAATTGGCCATTTATTATTAACAGCTCAGTTGAGTATTATATTATATCGAATCGATAATGATCCAAATGGGACATTTAATAATTATTTTATAGTAAAAAAGTCAATGATAGATCTAAATCATTGAATACCTCGTGAATATCGTTCATCGAGAAACATGATATGTCACGAATTATTTATATATATTTTGATGAAGGGTGAATGTTGTACGAATTATATATTTAATGAGCTGAGAAGAGGCTGGTTTACTTTCATTTTAATTTTTTGAACCATGGTATTTTTCTTATTTTATTTAATTATGAAATATCTTCGTCCCACCCTTTTTCCTTGATTGAAAATGTTTCTTTATTTTATAGTGCGGAGCTCAATTATTACGATATCCGTGCGCCTGAAACCGAAAAATAGTCTAACATGTAAAAGTTTATTTATTTTTGCTTATGATGCATAAGAGTGGGTGACATAGGGTCCACATTGATTTACTTTAATGTTTTTTTGGGAGGAAAAGTTATATATATATATATATTATGAATATCCATACATATATATATGTATCTTATAAACATTCATATCATATTGTATTTATTAATTTTAAATTTCACATGTCGCACGTTCATAATATTTTTTTTACAGATTATCTGTCCCCTTATAAATGCGATCGCAAATCGACGGCAGATCATATATACACACATACTTGTGTTGTGTAATCTAAAAGATTCCATTTTGTTAATAAATCAACATAAATGTTTAAATAAAATCGGGAACAAAATATTTAAACACAATTATCTGGAATTTGTCCTGTCAACCACACACTCCATTCCCTTGGAAAAATGATGAAAAGGAGAAAATAATCTTTTTTTCCAAGGAAATTTATAATTTTTTTTATCCAAATTTTCTTTTCAAGACGGTGGAGACTTTTTGTTGTTGTTGTTGTTGTTGGTGGGTTTCATGTCTTTTTAGGAATACACACACATATACACACTAACACACATACACACTTGTCACGTATGTATATACGTTTGCATGGAATATTATTGTTAGAAGCTCGTATATTATTATGACCCACCAAAAAATTGTCATGCTTATCCAATTTCTGTGTAAAGATTCAATTCTTTTTAATTCTGATTTTCTTAAACAAAAGAGAATTTGGTTATGAATTTATTAAACAAGTGCAAAGGGAGTGGACTGTTAATTATGATATATGATAATTTTTTTTGATAACCATAATGGTTTCCTACGCTTTCGGTCCGACTATATTTATATTAGGTTCAGGACTAATCTTTGTATGTAGACTATTTTAGTCAAAAAATTACATCTTTTTCCACAACAAGTGGAATCAAATCCATAACCTTGAGAATGATTTTGTCCCTTCTAAAGAAAAAGAATTTTGTAGCACTACCATTCGCCATCGTGTTATTATTTCGATATAATAATTGAATTTTTCTTTTTTTAATAGAATATAGTTATACGTGTTGAGTTATACATGCAAATAACCAATGAGTCAGCAGTTTCACACAAACCAGCTCAGGAACCTACCCACCCGAACGAAAACAATATTAATAAAAGAACGTGGATTTAAAAAAAGACCACGTTTCTCAGTTAGTTACATATTACAATGGTCTCTCTTTGCCCTTAGCCTCATTATTTAAAGCGCTTTCCACACCATTGACGACTTCTTCAATCTTTGGATGCATTGTCTGCAATACAATCGCCATGGGAGACAAGTTTCTTGTTCTGGGTTTGTTTCTGTCTCTGGTTCTTGCAAGCTTCACTGAGGTTTCTTGTCAGGTAAGAACACTTGACGTATGGGAAGAATAAACATTAATAGCATCGTAACTTGAGCTTCTTCTTTTTCTGGGTTTTTGACTTTTAGTATGAAGCCGTTGGAGATGAAGGAAACAGAGGATTGAGTATGTTGGATCTGATCGAGCATGAGTACCAATGTAAGTCAAGATACTGTCTAATGAATGTTCTTGTTTCAAGTTTTTCTTACAAGAACGCAAATCTTTGAAACAGAATCGGAATCTGAATCCTTTTGTTTTGGGGGGTTTTTAATTGGGTTTCTTGATTGCAGCTGATGTGGGTGGTCGTAAACAGCCGAATCTTGATGGTTTAGACAAAGACAAGGACAGTGAAGATCAAAGTAAGAGCTCTTTCTTGATATTTTTTTCTGGGTTTCATCGTCTCGCCTGTAAATTTTCTGAGAAAATCCGTGCGTTGACTTGTTTCAGCTGCGAAGAAGCAGAGTGAAACCCAACCAACCGGGCAGAAAAACACTACAGCGAGTGAGAAAACTATTTCCTTGTCCTTGTTGGATGAATCCGAGGGTTCTCTCAATGATACATATGACAAGCCCTTGGAAACTAAATCAACCGAGGTCAGCCTTTAGATTCCTGGTCTCTTTGAAAAATGATTGATTATAAAAAGGGTGATTCGGTGATTCAATATGGCTATAAAAAAGATTCAAACTTTTTGGTCTACTTTGATTCATATTTGCTCAATCTTGTAAGTTCTGTTTCTGTAGCATGAAGCTACAGGAAGTGAAGGTGGTATCGTTGATCAATTCGACCTTGAATACCAAGGTATGTTCAAGATCTTACTCTGCTTTTAGGCTTTTAGCTAGCTCTTCGGATCTGCAGTTCTCTTAGATTATGAAGCCTTATCCTCTCTAGACCGATAAGGAAGAGTTTGGTTATGTATTCCCTTTCTGGGTTTGTTTTTATTGCAGCCCTTGTCAATGGTCTTAAACAAACGGGTTCTGATGAAGTCAAGACAGACAAGGATGTGGAGGAACAGGGTAAAGATCCTCTCCATATCCGCCTGTTTCTGTTCTCTCCTGCTATTTTTCTGAGAAAGTTTTGAAATAAACAGTGGTTTTTGTATGAATATAACATTCTTGTAACGACAGTTTCATACATGTCTTGTTACAGTTTCAAAGAAAAGCATGTTGGATGAGATCGAACTCGAATACAAAGGTACCTTGAGAGTACCATTAGCTGTTTGTTCTTCTTCTTCAAGAATCTGTCTTCTTACTTGTTTCACACTTTGCAGAAACTATTAATGGGCTTAAGCAGTCGACAGCTGATGAATCCAGCAATGTCGGTGAGGATGAAGAACTATGTAAGAAGTCGTCTTCCTCTGCATTTTCCTGTTCCTTTTATCTCTCCTACAGCTTCTCTGAGTTGTTTTTAATGTCTCTATTACAGCTAAACTCAGGCTAAGTATGTTGGAAGAGATCGAACGAGAACACCAAGGTACGTCGAGAAAATCTTGTGGCCGTTTCTTGTTTTCAGAAACTCTTAGATGCAGGAAAATCCATAGAAATGCAGAAGAAAACCATTAAAGAGCTAGTTCATCCGTCTTTTTTCGCTATCTCTTACTTGCAGCCAGTAAGAAATTGAAGATAGATGATTTCACTGGAGGCAAGAATGATGAAGAACTATGTAAAAATCTCAGATCCCATCTACTTTTTTTTTTCTTTCTGATCTATTGTTTCTCATACATAGCATAACTCCAATGCTGTTTTTTCAATGTCTTGATGCAGCTGCAAAGAGAGCAAGTATGCTGGACGAGATCGAACGTGAATACGAAGGTAACATCTGAGATATATCATCATCTGTATTTCATTAGTTCCCTTGTTTCTTGATTGAATTTACACTTGTGATAATCCTGTCTTTTGTTTTTCGATTTCGTTCTGACAGCCGCTGCAGCTGGTCTTAAAGAACTAATGATTGATCTCAACCAAGGCAACGATGGCGAAGATCAATGTAAAAAGCCTCGTACCCTCTACTTATTCTGATCCATTCTTTCTAACAGTTTTGCTGAAGCGGTAATTTTTTTTTTATATGGTTTCTTCACGCAGCTGCAAAGAGACAGAGCATGTTGGAAGAGATTGAACGCGAATACGAAGGTAAACGTTTTCTTGAACCGTTATCTTTACCGGAATTGAACGTGGAATTCAACGGGACCGTTGCTTATGATGTTGTATCGCATCTGTATTCTTTCCTCTGCTGCAGCTGCTGCAAAGGGTCTTGAGCAACTAAAGGCCGATTTCAGTGGAGGCAACGATGATTCAGAACTATGTAAAAGAACTTTGTCCCCTCTGCCATTTTTTATTTCTGATTCTTTGTTTCTCTCTTACAGTCTTCTCATGCTGTGTTTTTTTTTTAATATTGTCTTGTTACAGCGGCGAAGAGGATAAGTATGTTGGATGAGATTGAACGCGAATATGAAGGTTGCCTTCAGATTTCATTCTTGAAATTCTTAGAAATACAAATCAAAACGAATATTAATTATATATTTTTTTTGTCTTTTTTTTTGTATCTTGCAGCTGCAGCAAGCAGTCTTGAGAAACTGAAGGTTGATTTCTCAGAAAGCAAGGGCGATGATGAAGAACAATGTAAGTAAAACCTTGTCCTCTGTGTTTTTTCTATTCTGTCTTATTCAATGTCTCTATTACAGTTGTCTGAGGATGTGTATCGATATGCCTTTGATATAGCTGCGAAGAGACAGAGTATGTTGGAAGAGATTGAACGGGAATACGAAGGTACGTTAAGGTATCGATTTTTTTGTTGAACCGTTTCTTGCTGCAAGAACGCGAATCTTGACTATCCTCTTGTTTCGCCCTATCGGTGCCTGCAGCCGCTGCAAGTAGTCTTGAACACCTGAGGGCTGATTTCTCCGAAAACAAAGACGGTGAAGAACAATGTAAGAACTCAGAATCTTTACAGTTCTCCGATCTCTGTCCTCTTTCTCTCTCTCTCTCCTGCAGTCTTCTGAAGGAAAAGTTTTGAATGTCTTTGTTACAGCTGCAAAGAGACAGAGCATGTTGGATGAGATAGAACGTGAATATGAAGGTACCTCGGTTTATATCTTTCTGTTATCGGTTCCTCTGTTTCTGGATCGAATCTTGAACCGTGCTTGATAATATATATATATATATATCTTTCTTTTATCGGTTTCTCTGTTTCTGGATCGAATCTTGAACCGTTCTTGATAACGATTACATTACTATTGAAGCTGCTGCAAAGGGTATTCACCAACTGAAGGTTGATTTCACCGAAGGCAAGGATGATTCAGAACAGTGTAAGTAATCTCCTCAAGCTTTGCCTGATTTCTTTGCCACCTCGTTACAAACATCTAAGGCTTTTTTTTTGTCGTGTTTTCTTACAGCGGCGAAGAGACAAAGCATGTTGGATGAGATTGAACGTGAATACGAAGGTTACATCTCAATCCGATCTTTGTTCAGTTCCTATGTTTCTATTAGAAAATATATCGGGATTCGGATAGGTAACAAGAAGATTACTCATGATTTTTGTTTCGTTCTTTTTCGTTTCTCGCTTGCAGAAGCTGCAAAGAGTCTTCATCAACTAAGGGTTGATTTCACAGAGGGCAAGGATGATGAAGAACAATGTAAAAAACATATCAACTCTTCTTTTTTGATCCAGTTTCTTTACTGTTCGGCCTTCTAATGCAGTTTTTCTATGTATTGTTTACAGCTGCAAAGACGAAAAGCATGTTGGATGAGATCGAACGTGAATATGAAGGTAACCCGAGATATCATTCATCCGTCCCTACGTTTTCTGTAACATCTTTAACGTATTTTCTTTTTGTTTTCGTCTTTTTTTCCCCCATTTCTTACTTGCAGAAGCTGCAAAGAGTCTTCACCAACTGAGAGTTGATTTCACCGAGGGCAAAGACGATGGAGAACAATGTAAAAATCCCGTGCCCTCTTTACGTTTCGTTCATTATCTGATACATTCGCTGTTGTTAATGCTGGTGTCTTATGGTGTTGTTTCAGCTGCAAAGAGACAAAGCATGTTGGATGAGATCGAACGTGAATACGAAGGTACATCAATATATAATCATCTATATATATATATATGTATATATAGGTTCCTCTGATTTCGGAGAAAAAGATTGGAAACCCTTTTTTTGTCACTTGCAGAAGCTGCAAAGAATCTGAAAGAACTAAGGGTAGAACTAAGCAAGGGTGGTGAAGAACAAGGTAGACACTTTTGTACGGACTCTTCCGGACAATCTTTCCGAGGATGTTTCTAAACATGTTTCGTTTACAGCTGCAAAGAGGCGAAGTATGTTGGACGAGATCGAACGTGAATATGAAGGTATGTACCTCGAGATATATATATATATATCGATATCCTCTTAACAATTATATATTGTGGGATCCTTTAAGTAACTAATAACGTTTATATAGAACGAAACAAACGTATCGAACCATTCTGTTTCAGAAAGGACATTCTCGTAAATGTCTTGAAAAGTTTCGTTTTTCGTTCCTTCTTCTTCGTTGCAGCCGCTGTCTCGGACGGTAAACCAACAACTGAACAATGTAAGGATAGAACTCTTCCCTTTCAGTTTCATCTCTTTCTTCGTCGCTCTCTCTCTTTCGAGTTCTATACGACAGTTTGTACTTTTCTTTATTCAGCGGGGAAGAAACGGAGCGGATCAAGCACATTCGACTTCTTCGAGATTGAACAATCAGGTATTACAAAATCGGTTATAGGTTCTTTTTTTCGGCGAAAACCATCTGGTTTATGACAAGAGTGAACTAACTCTAACTATAACTTCATTTGTGTTCTGTCCTTACAAATATTATCAGCCGGTGTCTGCGGGTGTTTTAACCAACACTCTCTTGGCGGTGGTCTCAAGGAAGACAAAGAAGCTTCGATCGTGATCCCGAGAACGATAAACATCGATGAACTGATCAAAGACGATATCTCGATCCAGGTTTTTGTTCCAAAAAAGCGACGAAAAAGATTCAATCTTTACTTCATTTCCAAATTGTAACATAACATGTTTAACTCGGATTTTGTTTCAGAGCTCGGAATCTTCTTCCAAGACCACGGTTTCCAAGACATCGAGCCTCACCACCTCGCTGAGTCAACTCGTCGAGAATCACAAGAATCCAAAGGTGGTGGTTCCGTCGAGAATAGGCTCGAGCTTCGAGCTATCTTCCACGGGTCAGACCGAGTCACTGAGAAAAACAGAAAGAACCGAAACCCTGAAGGCCAAGATCAAGGCTCTTCGTGGTGTAACCGTCCAAGAACTCGTGACTCGGTCCGAGTTTAACGGGATACTCGCCGCTGTATCGAGTCTGGAGGAATTAGACTCGGTATCTGTCAGTTACATCTCGCGGCTGGCGAGGTACAAGACGGTGATCGAAGAAGGGATCGAGGCTTCGAACCGAGTCCACATGGCTCAGAGCCGAGCGAAAATACTGAAAGAGATGGCGAAGGAGAAGCAAGCGGTGGTGGAAACCGACATCGAATCTGCAAAGGGATTAGCCCAGAAAGGTGACGAGCTGTACGTAAAGATTGTAGCGATAAAGAAGCTGCTGGCGAAGCTGGAGGCCGAGAAAGAGGCTGTGGACGCGAAATTCCAAGAACTGGTGACCCGTCTGATGCATCTGATGGAAGAAGCTTCGCATGCGCAAGAAGATTATCAGGCGGCGTTTCGTAAGGCGAAGGAGGAAGAAGCTGCGCTGGAATTTGCGCGGGAAGCTGCGGAAAACGCACAGAGGATTTGGTTGCTTTTTCTTGACTCACTTTGAAGAAGGAGAAGAAGAAGAGGTAGAGGGAGGATTGGGTTTGGACCGAAGTGTTGTCGCCATGGAAGCTAAGGTCGTTCTGCTTTTGTTAGCTTATGTTGTCGTGTTCTTTGTCAGACTTTGTGTGGAGTTCATGACGCGAGGGAGGGAAGGGGAGAGGCTTGTGAAATAAACACGGTTTCGAACGTTTAATAAAAAAAAAAAGGGGAAGCTTGAGCGCTCTGGCGATGTTTTTAATTATTATTAATTTAATTTTATGGTATATTTTGAATAAGACGTGAGAGATCTTTGGAGATTTTTTTTCAAAGCCTATTTTATTTATTGCTCAACTTCACAAATCGTGGTATATGAGAATTAAAAAAAAATATTAAAATTGGACAAGTAATTATTAAGCCGTCAATTGTTTTCAATATTACTAGGTATAGTTTATTCGGTTTTGGTTCGGGTTTGGATTCGGATTCCACTCACATTCATGTGAAGTTGTGAACGGGGTTATTTCAGTTTTAGAAAAAATATATTTTTTAGATTTTTAAGTTAAATTTGATTTGATTCGGTTCAATTTTATTTTTTATTGGTAAAAAAGTATTTTTTTAAATAAAATTTTCAATTTGTTAATTACTTTTTATTGGCTTCGAATTTATATTTTCGCTTTTAAAAAAATCAAAATCATCTGACTTTTATATCAGATTTAGCTTGCTTACGTATTATATGTTATTCCGTTTAGATAAGTTGATTATTAAATTATAAACCAAATAAACCATCCTAAATATTATCTTTTAATAACTAATTTTTTTTTCCACTTAAATTAAATAATTACCTATTGGTAATCATTCTGTGGAATAATATATTATATTCTATGAGGTTTTATGGAATGACAGAACATGTTCTATTTTTTTTTTCCAAAAGGGATTCTAGATTTTTAAAATCATTCTATTAATTTATATATGGCATGAAAAACAAGACCTAACCTGATTGGATTAAAAGAAAATGCATCTTATTGGAACCTTAGGTTGATCAAAACCCATTCTATTAAAAAAATAAATAAATAAGTAAATTGGGGTTGAGGATGTTGAGTGAAAGCCTATTAAGAAATTGATTGGAAGCCCATTCTAGAAGAATAAAAACACAAAAAGAAGGGTGCTTATAATAATAAGAGTATGGGCCCAAATGAAATGGGATTCATGCGAAAACATATAATATGTTGAAAAACTCAACCTTAATATAAAATAAGATATGTGGAACAATATAATTGGGAAAACATTTTTAATACCATAATTATTGCCAAACATATGTTCTAAATGCTCGATTTTTATCCCGGATGCCGTTTTAATATTCTAATTCGTCGATGTTTTTTTTTAATGACTAGCCTTAGCTTGAACAATTCATTGTTTTTTGTAAAGATTTGAAAGCCTGTCATTTGTATAAAGTATGAAAAAAATCGTAATTTATATGAGGATTTTATAATATTCGTTTTGATGAATTGTGGAGAGACTCGGTGGTTACTTTTAATAGTATTTGTATACTATATGAAGTCAAAGAATAATTAACATTGACAAATCATGCGGTGATAATAACTTGATAATTGAAAAACCATGCGATATTATTACAAAGGAAAAGACACATTATGCTTTATAAATTATGCGGCTTCGGGTACTTTCGTTGAATTTTGTAGGCAACCAACCATCTGTATGACATATAATATTCATGCAAATAAATAAAATACATAAATAAATAAAAAACTAAAGCAATGGTCTTTATTGCACATATACATATATATACACACATATATATATACGCACGCATTTACATATCAGAATATAAGATTTTCACTTTCTTGCACTGTTGTGTAATTCTAGTTTTGTCATGATTCGGCATATTACTCCTATAAACTGTTTCGGTGTAACTTGATTCTCCTTGAAACCCTAAAAACTTTTAAAACTCAAAGAACATAAATTTTTTATAATTCGGAAGTTAACCAAATTTTCAATCCAACTATATCTCCAGAGGATCGGAAAAACCCAGATAAGTGTCGCTCCGTGTCATTGCACAGGATTCTCAAAGAACAATATTGTTCGAAGGCAACTCATGACCCGACTCATCGATTAGACCTTGGAAAAACCCTGATAGGAACAAAGCCTGTGACCTAGTATGGTTCGGATTCTTATTCACACTTCATCAAGGCCGTGAATTGAAACCTTTCACCTTAGTTTATTAGCGTGCGGTCGAGTTAGTGAATACCTTTTACACGAACAAAAAAGAATAGAAAGAGGGGGAAAAAAGCAGTTAATTACCGGTATTGTATTAATTAACGATTAGAGAACTCGGACCGTCTCGGGGACGGAGCTTCGAGTGTTGTGTCGGGAAGAATGTCTACGACGTCTGAAACGAGGTTTTCGAGGCGGCTTGAACCAACATTCGTGGGCACATGGAAGAACACATCCTCTGTTGGGTCTATGCATACATCTATAGAAGCAATCGTCATAGCAGTCCGCGAAACCCGCCGAGGCATGGCTCATGAACATACTTATCATCAAAACAAACCCCAAAATGGCTAATCTTGATCTTTTAATCTCCATATCTCTCCAATCTTTTTTTCGATTTAGTTTCCTTATGATGTTTTTGGTTTATTTTTTTTTTAAATTTTCTCCTCGGGGCAAGGTGAAGTTTATATATGCATTCCTTAGGGTTTCTATTTTCCCAATAATAGTATTTCTAGATTTTCTTTTCGTTCAAATTTGATAATAATATCTTTCTTAATTTGTTTAGCGTTTACTAATTTAGGATCTAGTTAGGTCGACCACTTTGTTTTTGTTTCAAAAGTCTTAGCTTTTGACTATTCAAATATTGTTTATAACCGTTTTGATTAAGATGACACTCATTTGATTGAATTTTTTTTAGATAATCGTATATCTTGAATCAAGATTCACACTAATCCCCATGAATGAGAGCTAACCATATGATTTTGATTATATGCTCTCTCTCGAAAATTGAGTTTCGAACTCGTGAACGGAACAACGATTTGCGCCATCGTTTCACCGGTTGAACTATGTTTGGGTTCATTTAATTGATCTTTAATTACTGTCACGCATCTATACGTTATTATTGTAAGCAGTGTTTATATTATTCTTGTTTAGATCCGATGCTGCATGAAACTACATGGTGAGTGTTTGGTTTTTCATGGAGCATAAACATTGATAAATTTAGAAAAAAAAAGTATTATCGGACATATTAATAACACCGTGAGAAAAAATTATTGTCCGGTACGTTAAAAGTTGAATTATCATATTAAAATAAAATATTAACTCTAAAATTCCGAACAAATAACATATCACTTGTCTGTTAAAAAATCAGACACATTCTATTTGCAAGAGCTTCTCTTACTACTCTCTCTCTCGATGGTTGAAGTTAGGGTGTCAATTTAGGCCTAAAACCCGACTCGAGTCCATTTGAAAAATGTCGGGGTTCAAGCCTAAATGTTTTGGCTCGAAAAAAACTAAGCATCCGGGCCGGGCTCAACTCGAGCTTTGGCCTGATTCGGGTCAATAAAAAAATTCGATATTTTTTTCAAAAAAAATCGAAAAAAAGAAAAAAAATAATTTGACAAAAGAATTGATTAGGCCAGTCCGGCTTGACCCGACCTGATCCGAAGTTGAAATGTGTGGAGTTGGATTTCAAACATAATTATATAGGTCCTAAAAAATTGGCTCGGCCCGAGCCTGACCTGAGCCCAAAATTCTCGGGTCGAGTATGGGTTTGGGTCGATCAGATTGATGCCCTAGTTGAAGTTCAGAACATAGAAGCATGTATTCAAAACAATGAATAATTAATTTTATACTTTTGTTGGTATATTTTTTCTTTTTTTTTTTAATTTTAATTCGCTTCAAAGTCAAAGTATTTTTTTAAGAAATATTTGTTTCTACGAAATTAAATATTGATTTATTTGTTTCCAAAATATCTTAAGAGTCTTTGTAATTATATTCATAATTTCTCACTATATTTTTAAAATTTTCTAAGTCAATGTTACTAGAGATATGTAGTCAGAATCGAATATCAAATCAATAAACGACAAAGGAATTAGGTAAAATGGTAATCGATCAGATACAAGAGTTATGCTAAAAAAACCCATACAATAAGAAATTAGGATAATAAATAGTTTCAGAGAACATAAAAAATATACATGTTATAATGAATGAAAAAAATTAAAAATAGGATTAAGACAAAAGAAATGTTAAAAAGTCAATAATAATAAAAATTTGTGATTCTGTGTGTAACGATTGTTATAAACCGCACACATATAAATTTTTTAATCACTGTTTACTTAACTATTACATCTCATCATCATGTAGTAGTTAGTTGTCATGGAATGGCCAGTCTTGTAATTAAGTCTCCTACCATAATTTAGAAAAAAGATAGAAAAAAAAATGTCATGAAACAGTCCAAAAAATAAAGGAAACTTCAGTTACAGTTTTTTTTAAATGAAAAAAATGAATTTAATTGAACCTTAGTGAATTTTACCACTAAGTTTTGCAAACCCTTCGGGCACAATTCTTGTAGCATTTCTCCACTTTGAACGCATCTGCATGATCCATCAATAGAAATTAAGTTAGATTATATATAACCGTCAAATCCTACTCAAGGGCTACATCATATATTCAAATTCTATATATTGAACTAAAACTAATAATTTCCTAATAAAAAAAAGATAAGAAAATGAGATATAAGAATCATTTACCGGCTAGAGAATCAACGCAAGAATGGACTGTACAACCAAGTTTACAATAAACACTAGGATCCATCTTGCTATCATCGATTTCATAAGAATCAGAATCGGAATTGGATTGTGGACGTAAAAGGGTGTTGCCTCCGCGTTTGGGATGGAACGATACAACACATTGCGCAGTACATTTGATTCCGCATGTCACGTTCATTTTGTTGGCTTTTGGGTAAGCACATTTGTTAAAACATTTGTGATAGCAAACACTAAACTTGTCGGCCCTTACTTCACTTATCAGCATGCCCACCAACACAAACCCTAATATGGCTAGTTTTGTGATGTTCATCTTCATGCCTTAGTCTCTTCTATCTTTTCTTTTCTTTTCTTTTTCTTTTTTTGAACAAGATGGAATTTGTGTAAACTCTACCATCTATATATATAGTCATGTAGCATTGTTTATTTTAGGCATTAAATTTTCCACCACAAGAAAAAACAATATGTAATGGTTTTTTCTCATCCAATCATTAATTTACACTAGTTGTACAAATTATTTACCATTCTGCTTTTCGTTTCACCGGTTTCAGTGACAACAATGCAATTGGAATATGCTATGGATATGCGCAATAACAAAATTTGTGAGGAAGAAACAATTTACATGCTATATATATATATTCGAGTGGTTTGATTAGAGTTTGGTTTGATTGATATATATGAAAATGCTTTGTGTGCTTAAGTTTGACATTTAAGATCCATATCGATATTTTTTCAGATTTAAAAGTTTTTAATCGTAATGGATACCAACGAGATTGAGTGTGAACATCAAGAGTTGGAGTGCAATATCGTTTTGCCTCAATCTACTATGGATAGGATGTTGGAGAATTGATATATTGTCTAAATTTTGATTATTTTATGTTAATTGTAAACTGTTTATATGTGAGAAGGTTTTTACAAAGGGGTGGCCAGATTGTTAATTGTTGTGAATACAGACGGGGTGAAACCCTAGTCCAAAATTGCTCAAGATACAAAAGTGTGTCATAAGCAGTCAAAAATGTTCAAAGACTCGGAACCAGATTGTGTGGAGCGTGTCTTGCAAGTTGTCGGTCTTCCATACACTTTGAATGGATGTTAACTCATCCTCATTATCCCACATCAGACAAGTAGATAAGTTGTTCAAACCTAGGGGTGTCAAAAAAGCCCGAGGCCCGTTACCCGGCCGAGCCCGCCCGTAAAATTTACGGGTTGGGCCTAAGAAATTGAAGCCTGATCGTCCATCGGGCCGGGCCGGCCCGACCCGTAAAATGCGGGCCAAAATACGGGCTCGGGCCGGGCTAGCCCGACCCGGCCCGTCGGCCCAAAAAATAGATGTATTATATATTATATAACATAAATATATATAGATATAGATAAATATATATATATACATGCATAAATATATGCATATTAATTCACTAATATTTAAATAAAATTTATTATTATATAAAAATTAAAAATTTTGAGTTTTAATTTCTCTTAAATTCACATATATATTAATAAATGTTTTTATCAAAACTTTATTTTTTATTATCTTTAGTATATATTATTTTTTTTTTCTATTTTGATAATTATTTATTAATAATTTTTATTTTTAATTTGTTATTATTTTTTTTAAAAGCCCGAAGCCCGATCCGAACCCGAAAAAAGCCCATTGGACCGGGCCTCGGGCCCAACATTTTAAGCCCGCATGTGTTTCGGGCCGGGCCTGGCTTTTGTCGGGTTCGGACGGGTCGGCCTGGCCCGACCATTTTGACACCCCTATTCAAACCTCATGCCAATAAATGATCCTCGGTGAAAAGTCTGTTTATATACCAAAATAAAATATTTACTCCAAAATTCTGAACACGACAACATATCACTTGCCTGTTAAAAACCAGACACATTCTCTATGCAAGAGTCTGTCTGTCGATGGTTGAAGTTAGGAGTGTCAATTTAGGTCCAAAGCCCGAATCGAGTCCACTCGAAAAATATGACATTTGAGGCCTAAACATTTTGGCTCGATAAACATTGGACTTCCGGGTCGGGCTCAATCCGACCTTCGGCCCAATACGGGTCAAATCCAAAATCTCGATATTTTTTCAAAAAAAAAAAAATTGAAAAAAAGAAAACAAATAAATTTACAAAAGAATTGAGTAGACCGGTTTGGCATGGCTCAACCCGATCCGAAGCCAGAATTTATAGAGATGGATACTTCAGACTTAATCATATAGTTCCTAAAATTGGCACATCCTGAGACTAATCCCGAGCCCGAAAATGTCGGTCGAATGTGGGTTTAGACCGACACGATTGACACCCATAGCTGAAGTTCAGATCATGGAGGCATGTTGGATTTAAATCAGTGAAAAATTTGTTTTCTACTTTGTTGGTATTTTTTTCTCTTTTTATTTTTTAATTTTAATTCATTTCAGAGTCAAAGTATTTATTTTAAAGAATATTTATTTGTAAGGAATTAATATTGATTTATTTGTTTCCAAAATATCTTAAGAATCATTGTAATAATATTCATAATTTCTCACTATGTTTTCAAAATTTTCTATGTCAGTGTTACTAGAGATATGTTCATCAGAACTAAATGTCAAATCAATAAACGATAACGAAATAAGGTAAAATGATAATTAATCAGATACGAGACAAAAGTATTGGAAAAAATCATACAATAATAATTTAGAATAAAAAATAGTTTTGTAGAACATAAAAAAATATATGTTACAATAAATGAAAAAAAAATTAAAAAAAATATTAACACAAAAGAAATATTTAAAAGCCAATAATAATAATTTACGATTCCGCGTATAACGATTGTTATAAACCGACACATATCAATTTTTTAATCACTGTTTATTTAACGATTACATCTCATCATCATGTCGTGGTGGGTTTGAATGTGGAAGGTGGAATAATAATAAAGGATGGAATGATCAGCCTTGTAATTAAGTCTCCTGCCATAATATAGAAATTTTTTTTACTCAAAATAGTTCAAAAAATAAAGGAAATTTCAATTACAGTTTTTTTAAATGAAAAAAATAAATTTAATTGAACCTGTGAATTTTATCACTAGGTTTTGCAAACCCTTCGGACACAATTCTTGTAGCATTTTGTTGAAATAGAAACAAAATATGGAGATTTGATATGATTGATAACAATTAAAGGCATAATATCGATTAAGAATAAAATATATATCGTGATAATTATATTTTGCCTTATTTGTTTCTTTCGTATCTTTATTTCCTTGTTTCTTTCAATAATTTTTCCTATAAATGTATGGATTATTTTTATTGTAATGTAACAAGAAGAAGAGATGTAGCAATAAAAGTGTTTCCGTTCTTTTATCTTTTGTTCTTTCTTTCTAATTTAATTTCCGCATTTTATTTTTCAATACATTTCTCCACTTTGAACGCATCTGCATGATCCATCAATAGAAATAAAGTTAGATTGTATATAACCGTTAAATCTTACTAAAAGGCTACATTATATATTAAAATTCTATATATTGAACTAAAACTAATATTTTCCTAATCGAAAAAAAAGATAAGAAAATGAGATGTAAGAATCAATTACCGGCTAGAGAATCAACGCAAGAATGGACTGTACAACCAAGTTTACAATAAACACTAGGATCCATCTTGCCATCATCGATTTCATAAGAATCAGAATCGGAATTGGATTTTGGACGTAAAAGGGTATTGCCTCCGCGTTTGGGATGGAACGATACAACATATTGCGCAGTACATTTGATTCCGCATGTCACGTTCATTTTATTGGCTTTTGGGTAAGCACATTTGTTAAAACATTTGTGATAGCAAACACTAAACTTGTCGGCCCTTACTTCACTTATCAGCATGCCCACCAACACAAACCCTAATAAGGCTAGTTTTGTGATGTTCATCTTCATGCCTTAGTCTTTTCTATATTTTCTTTTCTTTTCTTTTCTTTTCTTTTTTTGAACAAGATGGAGTTTGTGTAAGACTTACCATCTATATATATATAGTTATGTCGCGTTGTTTATTTTAGGTATTAAATTTTCCACCACAAGCAAAAACAAAATGTAATGGATTTTTCTCATCCAATCATTAATTTACAGTAGTTGTATAAATTATTTACCATTCCGCTTTTTGTTTCACCGATTTCAGTGACAACAATGCAATTGGAATATGCTATGGATGTGCTCAATAATAAAATTTGTGAGGAAGAAATAATTTACATGCTATATAGATTTTGAAAATATTACTAATTTTTTCTCTTTTGTTTTTTTAATAATTGTAAAAAAGAAGAAAAGCAACAATGACGAAATAAGAATGTTGTGTGTGTGTGTATATATATATATATATATATATATATATATATATATTCGAGTGGTTTGATTAGAGTTTGGTTTGATTTATATAAGAAAATGCTTTGTGTGCTTAAGTTGGACATTTAAGATCCATATCAATATTTTTTCCAGATTTAAAAATTTTAATCGTAATGGATGCCAACGAGATTGAGTGTGAACAACATCAAGAGTTGGAGTTATTGTTTTGCTTCAATCTAGTATGGATAAGATGTTAGAGAATTGATATATTATCTAAATGTGATTATTTTTTTAATTGTAAACTGTATATGTGTGAGAAGGTTCTTACAAAGCGGTGACCAGATTGTTAATTGCCGTGAATACAGACAGGGTGAAGCCTTAGTCCAAAATAGTCCAGGATACAAAAGTGTATCATAAGTAGTAAAAAATGATCAAAGAATCGGAACTAGATTGTGAGCAGTGTGTCCTGCGAGTTGTCAGTTTTCATACACTTTGAATGGATGTTAACTTCGATGGGGGGTTGTGAGAATGTACCGAGGAGTATGGATGTCATGTAGCCTAGTATTCCTCTCGCATCATACCATACAATTTGTGCTCTAGAAAAGTATTATAACCATAAGTGTCAAGGTCCCATCATTGGTGCACCGTTCCACCCTGTTTACCTGGCCCAAAAATGACGTGCAAGTTTATTGGATAGGGGGCATGGCAAAGGAGAGATGCCCATATCGCAAAAATGTAGTGATAAATGAAGAACATATGGTTTATTAACTCATCCTCATTATCCCACATCAGACAAGTAGATAAGTTGTTCAAACCTCATGCCAATAAAAGATCCCCGGTGAAAAGTCTGTTTGTATACTAAAATACAATATTTACTCCAAAATTCTGAATACAACAACATATCACTTGTCTGTTAAAAATCAAACACATTTTATTTGCATGAGCCTCTCTGTAGATGGTTGAAATTAGGAGTGTCAATTTAGGCCCAAAGCTTGGATCGAGTCCACTCGAAAAATGTCAGGGTTATTGCCTAAATGTTTTGGCTCGAAAAAAATTGGTCTTCCGGGTCGAGCTCAATCCGACCTTTGGCCCGGTACGAGTCAATAAAAAATCTCGATATTTTTTTTAAAAAAATTGAAAAAAAAACAAATAAATTTACAAAAGAATTGAGTAGCCCGGTCTGGCATGGCTCGACCCGATCCGAAGCCGAAATTTATAGAGTCGAACTTCAGATTTAATCATATAGGTACTAAAGAATTGGCCCAACCCGAGCCTAACTCCAAGCCCAAAATTCTCGGTCGAGTGTGGGTTTGGGCTAACCCGATTGACACCTGTAGCTGAAGCATGTTGGATTCAAAGCAATGAATAATTTGTTTTCTACTTTGTTGGTATTTTTTTCTCTCTTTTTATTTTTTAATTTTAATTCGTTTCAAATTCAAAGTATTTATTTTAAGGATTATTTGTTTATACGAAATTAAATATTGATTTATTTGTTCCTAAAATATCTTAAGAAGCTTTGTAATAATATTCATAATTTCTCACTATATTTTTAAAATTTTCTAAGTCAATGTTACTAGAGATATGCACATATTAGAGCTGAATGTCAAATCAATAAACGATAAAGAAATTAGGTAAAGTGGTAATCAATAAGATATGAGATAAGAATTATGCGAAAAAATCATACAATAACAAATTAGGATAGCAAATAGTTTCATAGAACATAAAAAAATATACATGTTATAATAAATGAAAAAATTAAAAATAGGATTAATACAAAAGAAATGTTAAAAAGCCAATTAATAATTTGTGATTCTGTGTATAACGATTGTTATAAACCGCACACATAACAATTTTCTAATCATTGTTTACTTAACTATTACATCTCATCTTCATGTGGTGGTGGATTTGAATGTGGAACGTGGAGGAATAGTAAAGGATGTCAGTCTTGCAATTAAGTCTCCTGCCATAGTTTAAAAAAATAGAAAAGCAAATGTCACGATAAAATCCAAAAAATAAAGAAAACTTCAGTCACAGTGTTTTTTTAAATGAAAAAATGAATTTAATCTAACTTTAGTGAATTTTACCACTAGGTTTTACAAACCCTTCGGGCACAATTCTTGTAGCATCTCTCCACTTTGAATGCATCTGCATGATCCATCAATAGAAATAAAGGTAGATTATATATAACTGTTATATCCTACTCAAGGGCTACATCATATATTCTAATTCTATATATTGAACTGAAACTACTATTTTCCTAATCGAGAAAAGAGATAAGAAAATGAGATATAAGAATCATTTACCGGCTAGAGAATCAACGCAAGAATGGACTGTACAACCAAGTTTACAATAAACACTAGGATCCATCTTGCCATCATCGATTTCATAAGAATCAGAATCGGAATTGGATTGTGGACGTGAAAGGGTGTTGCCTCCGCGTTTGGGATGGAACGATACGACACATTGCGCAGTACATTTGATTCCGCATGTCACGTTCATTTTATTGGCTTTTGGGTAAGCACATTTGTTAAAACATTTGTGATAGCAAACACTAAACTTGTCGGCCCTTACTTCACTTATCAACACGCCCACCAACACAAACCCTAATATGGCTAGTTTTGTGATGGTCATCTTCATGCCTTAGTCTTTTCTATCTTTTCTTTTCTTTTTCTTTTTTGAACAAGATGGAGTTTGTGTAAGCCCTAACATCTATATATATAGTTATGTAGCATTGTTTATTTTAGGCATTAAATTTTCCACCACAAGAAAAAACAAAATGTAATGGTTTTTTCTCATCCAATCATTAATTTACACAAGTTGTACAAATTATTTACCATTCCGCTTTTCGTTTCACCGGTTTCAATGACAACAATACAATTGGAATATACTATGGATGTGCGCAATAACAAAATTTGTGAGGAAGAAACTGGTTACATGCTATATAGATTTTGAGAATATTAATATTTTTTCTCTTTTGTTTTTAATTGTTGTCAAAAAAGAAATTCAAAATGACTAAATAAGGACATTATATATATACTCGAGTGGTTTGATTAGATTTTGGTTTGATTTATATATATGAAAATGCTTTCTCTTCTTAGGTTTGACATTTAAGTTCCATATCAATATTTTTTTTCTAGATTTAAAAGTTTTTTAATGTAATGGATGCCAAAGAGATTGAGTGTCAATATCAAGAGTTAGAATGCGATATCGTTTTACCTCAATCTAGTATGGATAGGATGTTAGAGAATTGATATATTGTCTAAATTGTGATTATTTTTTGTTAACTGTAAACTGTATATATGTGAAAAGGTTCTTACAAAGGGGTGGCCAGATTGTTGATAGCCGTGAATACAGACGAGGGGCCAGTCCCCAACCTAAAATAGTCAGGATACAAAAGTGTGTCATAAGCAGTAAAAGATGATCAAAGAATCGGAACCAGATTGTGAGCAATGTGTCCTGCGAATGGTCGGTCTTCCATACATTTTGAATGGATGTTAACTTTGACGGGTTGTGAGAATGTCTCGAGCGAGTATGGATGACATATAGCCTAGTGTTCCTCTCGCGTCACACCGTGCAATTGGTGCTCTAGAAAAGTATTATAACCATAAGTGTTAAGGTCTTTTCATTGGTACACCGTTCCACCCTGTGATATCCCGAGCTACGATGAGGGTTAGGAGTGTTCGTCAGTGCGATGGCACGGTCAAGATGTAGCTTCCCGAGTACCATTAAGGCCAAAGAGATACAGGAATCAATCGAATGCACTCGAATATGAGAGATCCGAGGACTATATAGGTCTGAGATAACATAAAAAGAATTACTTGGACTACTCATAGCAATAATGTGCACCTACCTTTTCGGTTGACTATCCCGAAAGAACTTCAAAGTTAAACGTGCTAATTCTAGAGCAATTTCAGTATGGGTGACCTACTGAAAAGAGTCTCGATATGTATGCAAGTGAGAACAAAACACGCTGGAAGGTCTCGTGTTGCAGTGTAAGGGCAGTTTCGATAATTTATAGCAGTCACAGGTCATTACACACCCAGTTTACCTGGTCCGAAAATGAGGTGCAAGTTTGTCGGGTAGTATAGGGTATGACAAAGGAAAGATGCTCGTATCACAGAAGTGTAGTGACAAGTAAAGAACAAATGGTTTATTAACTCATCCTCATTATCCCACATCAAACAAGTAGATAAGTTGTTCAAACCTCATGCCAATAAATGATCCCCGGTGAAAAGTATGTTTATATACCAAAATAAAATATTTACTCCAAAATTCTGAACACGACAACATATCACTTTCCTGTTAAAAACCAGACACATTCTCTTTGCAAAGAGCCTCCCTGTCGATGGTTGAAGTTAGGAGTGTCAATTTAGGTCCAATGCCCGAATCGAGTCCACTCGAAAAATATGAGGTTTGAGGCCTAAACATTTTGGCTCGATAAACATTGGGCTTCCAGGTCGGGCTCAATCCGACCTTCGGCCCAATACGGGTCAAATCCAAAATATCGATATTTTTTCAAAAAAAAATTGAAAAAAAGAAAACAAATAAATTTACAAAAGAATTGAGTAGGCCGGTTTGGCATGGCTCAACCCGATCCGAAGCTAGAATTTATAGAGACGAATACTTCAGACTTGATCATATAGGTCCTAAAATTGGCACATCCTGAGACTAATCCCGAGCCTGAAAATCTCGGTCGAGTGTGGGTTTAGACCGACACGATTGACGCCCGTAGCTGAAGCTCAGATCATGGAGGCATATTGGATTCAAATCAGTGAATAATTCGTTTTCTACTTTGTTGGTATTTTTTTCTCTTTTTATTTTTTAATTTTAATTCATTTCAGAGTCAAAGTATTTATTTTAAGGAATATTTATTTGTAAGGAATTAATATTGATTTATTTGTTTCCAAAATATCTTAAGAATCTTTGTAATAATATTCATAATTTCTCACTATGTTTTCAAAATTTTCTATGTCAGTGTTACTAGAGATATGTTCATCATAACTAAATGTCAAATCAATAAACGATAAGGAAATAAGGTAAAGTGATAATTAATCAGAAACGAGACAAAAGTATTGGAAAAAATCATACAATAAGAATTTAGAATAAAAAATAGTTTTGTAGAACATAAAAAATATATATGTTACAATAAATGAAAAAAATTAAAAACAAGATTAACACAAAAGAAATATTAAAAAGCCAATAATAATAATTTACGATTCCGCGTATAACGATTGTTATAAACCGACACATATCAATTTTTTAATCACTGTTTATTTAACGATTACATCTCATCATCATGTCGTGGTGGGTTTGAATGTGGAAGGTGGAATAATAATAAAGGATGAAATGATCAGCCTTGTAATTAAGTCTCCTGCCATAATATAGAAACAAAAACTTTACTCAAAATAGTTCAAAAAATAAAGGAAACTTCAGTTACAGTTTTTTTTAAATGAAAAAAAATAAATTTAATTGAACCTGTGAATTTTATCACTAGGTTTTGCAAACCCTTCGGACACAATTCTTGTAACATTTCTCCACTTTGAACGCATCTGCATGATCCATCAATAGAAATAAAGTTAGATTGTATATAACCGTTAAATCTTATTAAAGGGCTACATTATATATTAAAATTCTATATATTGAACTAAAACTAATATTTTCCTAATCGAAAAAAAAGATAAGAAAATGAGATGTAAGAATCAATTACCGGCTAGAGAATCAACGCAAGAATGGACTGTACAACCAAGTTTACAATAAACACTAGGATCCATCTTGCCATCATCGATTTCATAAGAATCAGAATCGGAATTGGATTGTTGACGTGAAAGGGTGTTGCCTCCGTGTTTGGGATGGAACGATACGACACATTGCGCAGTACATTTGATTCCGCATGTCACGTTCATTTTATTGGCTTTTGGGTAAGCACATTTGTTAAAACATTTGTGATAGCAAACACTAAACTTGTCGGCCCTTACTTCACTTATCAGCATGCCCACCAACACAAACCCTAATAAGGCTAGTTTTGTGATGTTCATCTTCATGCCTTAGTCTTTTCTATCTTTTCTTTTCTTTTTCTTTTTTGAACAAGATGGAGTTTGTGTAAGCCCTAACATCTATATATATATTTATGTAGCATTGTTTATTTTAGGCATTAAATTTTCCACCACAAGAAAAAACAAAATGTAATGGTTTTTTCTCATCCAATCATTAATTTACACAAGTTGTACAAATTATTTACCATTCCGCTTTTCGTTTCACCGGTTTCAATGACAACAATACAATTGGAATATACTATGGATGTGCGCAATAACAAAATTTGTGAGGAAGAAACTGGTTACATGCTATATAGATTTTGAGAATATTAATATTTTTTCTCTTTTGTTTTTAATTGTTGTCAAAAAAGAAATTCAAAATGACTAAATAAGGACATTATATATATACTCGAATGGTTTGATTAGATTTTGGTTTGATTTATATATATGAAAATGCTTTCTCTTCTTATGTTTGACATTTTAGTTCCATATCAATATTTTTTTTTCTAGATTTAAAAGTTTTTTAATTGTAATGGATGCCAAAGAGATTGAGTGTGAATATCAAGAGTTGGAATGCGATATCGTTTTGCCTCAATCTAGTATGGATAGGATTTTAGAGAATTGATATATTGTCTAAATTTTGATATCTTTTGTTAACTGTAAACTGTATATATGTGAAAAGGTTCTTACAAAGGGGGTGGCCAGACTGTTGATAGCCGTGAATATAGACGAGGGGCCAGGCCCTAACCTAAAATAGCCAAGATACAAAACTGTGTCATAAGCAGTAAAAGATGATCAAAGAATCGGAACCAGATTGTGAGCAACGTGTCCTGCGAATGGTCGGTCTTCCATACATTTTGAATGGATGTTAACTTCGACGGGTTGTGAGAATGTCTCGAGCGAGTATGGATGTCATGTAGCCTAGTGTTCCTCTCGCGTCACACCGTGCAATTGGTGCTCTAGAAAAGTATTATAACCATAAGTGTTAAGGTCTTTTCATTGGTACACCGTTCCACCTTGTGATATCCCAAGCTACGATGAGGGTTAGGAGTGTTCATCAGTACGATGACACGGTCAAGGTGTGGCTTTCCGAGTACCACTAAGGCCAAAGAGATACAAGAATCAATCGAACGCACTCGAATATGAGAGATCCGAGGACTATATAGGTTTGAGATAACATAAAAAGAATTAGTTGGACTACTCATAGCAATAATGTGCACCTACCTTTTCGGTTGACTATCCCGAAAGAACTCCAAAGTTAAACGTGCTGATTCTAGAGCAATTTCAGTATGGGTAACCTACTGAAAAGAGTCTCGATATGCATGCAAGTGAGAACAAAACACGCTGGAAGGTATCGTGTTGTTGTGTAAGGGCAGTTTCGATAATCTATAGCAGTCACAGGTCGTTACACACTCAGTTTACCTGGTCCGAAAATGAGGTGCAAGTTTGTCGGGTAGTATATGACATGACAAAGGAGAGATGCTCGTATCGCAGAAGTGTAGTGACAAGTAAAGAACAAATGGTTTATTAACTCATCCTCATTATCCCACATCAGATAAGTAGATAAGTCGTTCAAACCTCATGCCAATAAATGAATCCCTGGTGGAAAGTCTATTTATATACTAAAATAAAATATTTACTCCAAAATTCTAAACACAACAACATATCGTTGGTTGAAGTTAGGGGTATCAATTTAGGCCCAAAATCCGAATCAAGTCCACCTGGAAAATGTCAAGGTTCAGGCCTAAATGTGTTGGCTCGAAAAAAAAAGGGCTTCTGAGCCGGGCTCAATTTGATCTTTGGACGATTCGAGTCAATAAAAAAATAAAAAAAAACAAATAAATTTACAAAGGAATTGAGTAGACCAGTCCTCATGGTTGGACCCGATCCAAAGCCGAAGATTATAGAGCAGAACTTCGGACTTAATCATATAGGTCCTAAAAAATTGGCCCCGCCTGAGCCTAACTACGAGTCCGAAATTCTTGGTCGAGTGTGGATTTTGGGCCGACCTGATTGACACCATTAGCTGAAGTTCAGATCATAGAAGCATGTTGGAATCAAAGCCATGAATAATTCGTTTTCTACTTTGTTGGTATTTTTTCTCATTTTACTTTTTAATTCGCTTCAAAGTCAAAGTATTTATTTTAAGGAGTATTTGTTTTGAACGGAGTTAAAAATTGATTTATTTGTTCCCAAAATATCTTAAGAATCTTTGTAATGATATTTATATTTTCTCACTATATTTTTCACATTTTCATTTTCTCACTATATTTTTCGCATTTTCTAAGTCAATGTTATACATCAGAACTGAATGTCAAATCAATAAACTACAAAGAAATTAGGTAAAGTTGTAATCAATCCGATAGAGACAAGAATTATGCCAAAAAAATATACAATAAGAAATTAGGATAACAAATAGTTTCATAGAACATAAAAATATATATATTACAATAAATAAAAAATTAAAAATAGGATTAATACAAAATAAATGTTAAAAAGCCAATAATAATAACAATATGCGATTTCGTGTATAACGATTGTTATAAACCGCACACATATAAATTTTTTAATCACTGTTTACTTAACTATTATATCTCATCATCATGTAGTGGTAGGTTTAGATGTGGAACGTGGAAGAATAGTAAATGATGGAATGACCAGTCTTGCAATTAAATCTCCTGCCATAATATAGAAACAAAAAATATACTCAAAATAGTTCAAAAAATATAGGAAACATCAGTTTCATTTTTTTAAATGAAAAAATGATTTTAATTTAACCTTAGTGAATTTTGCCACTAGGTTTTGCAAACCCTTCGGGCACAATTCTTGTAGCATATTTCCACTTTAAATGCATCTGTATGAACCATTGATCGAAATAAATTTAGATTATATATAATCGTTAAATACTACTCAGGGCCTACATCATATATTTAAATTGTATATAATAAATTGAAACTAATATTTTCCTAATAAAAAAAAAGATACGAAAATGAGATATAAGAATCAATTACGGCTAGAGAATCAACGCAAGAATGGACTGTACAACCATGTTTACAATAAACACTATGATCCATATTGCCATCATCGATTTTAAAAGAATCAGAATAAGAATTGGATTGTGGAAGTGAAAGGTGTTGCATCCCTCTTTGGGATAGAACGATACAACACATTGCATAATACATTTGATTCTGCATGTTAGTTCATTTTATTGGCTTTTGTGTAAGCACATTTGTTAAAACATCACTACAAAAAAATGGTCATTTCCAACGGGCAAATCCGTTGGAAATGGCCAAATTTCCGTTGGAAATTAACGTTTCCAACGGATAAATCCGTTGAAATTTCGTCATTGGAAATCGGTGTCTGTTGGACAACCGTTGGAATTTTCAACAGAATTTCAATGAATTTTTTCGTTGGAATTTTCCAACGGATTTCTAACCGCAATCCTTCCAACGGAATTTCCAACCGATATCCGTTGGAATTTTCAAATGGAATTTCCAACCGCAATCCGTTGGAATTTTTCAACGAAAAATTCAAAACATATTCTCGACCCTGACCCCGACTACGATCCCAACCCCGACCCTGATCCCGATCCCGAAGCTCACTTCCCAATAGGTCACCCATCATTCCATTGCTCCAACTCAATCCTCCTTAACCCTAGAGTTCCAATTTACAATCATCCAATTACTCCAAGTTAAACTTCTGATATCATATAACATTAATATATATACATATATAAATATTTATACATATATATATATATATACACATACACATATACATATATACATATATACATATATATATAAATATTTATATGTATATATATTTATGTATATACACATTCGAATTCATATATATATATATATAATATTTGTTATGTGTATGTATATGGTTAATATAGACATATCGATATATATATATATATATATATGTATACGTATAAATATATAAAATACATGTATTTAAATATATATATATATATATGTGTATATTATATATATATATATATATATTAGATATTTCAATTAATTTTTCAATTAAAATCTAAATTTGCAACGGATATCCGTTAAAATTTTTTTTTAAATTTCCAAAAAAATTTCCAACCGACATCCGTTGGAATTTTTTTCCAACCAACATCCATTGGAAATTTCCAACCGATATCCGTTGGAAATACCGTTGGAAATTTTCAACCCAATTTTTCAATTGAATACGTTGAAAATTCCGTTAAAAATTTCCAACGGATATCCGTTGGAAATTTCAACGGAATTTTAACGGAAATCGTCGTTGAAACGCCGCTAAAAACCGTTGAAAATCCATTGAAAAATTTCCAACAGATAAATCCGTTGGAAAATCCGTTGGAATTCGATGATTTTTTTGTAATGCATTTGTAGTAGCAAACACTAAACTTGTCGGTCCTGACTTCACTTATCAACATACCCACCAATACAAACCATAATATAGCTAATTTTGTGATGTTCATCTTCATGTCTTAGTCTTTTCTATCTTTTTTTTTTATTTTTCTTTTTTTGAACAAGATGGAGTTTGTGTAAGCCTTACCATCTATATATAGTTATGCAGTATTGTTTATTGTAAGTAATAAATTTTTAACCACAAGAAAAAGCAAAATGTAATGGTTTTTTTCTCATCCAATGATTAATTTACACTAGTTGTACAATTTATTTACCATTCCGATTTTCATTTCACCGGTTTCGATGACAATGATGCAATTAGAATATGATGTGGATGCAATAACGAAATGTTTTGTGTTGAAAGAACGGTTTATGTGTTATATTGAGTTTTGGCCATATTAATAAATTTCTCTTTTATTTTTTTTAAATTTATTGTAAAAAAAAAAAGAAACTCAACAATTAAGAAATAAAAACGTTATGTCCATGAAAGTAATGTATGCTCATATAACAATAGTTAGGTTGTCGCCTTGGTTTATCTCTGTATTTAGAATTATATAAAATGAATTTAAACTACCCGACTTCAGTTAATCTCTCGGTATTTATCTGAATTACCATTGTTTTGCGTAACAGAGCATTGTGCTAATGCCGAGCAACCAGTTGCACGCCGTAAATAAACAGTAAAAAGTCGATTAATTAAATGAAAATAGATCCTGCCTTGTTTGAAACTGTAATTTAATATTTTGAAACTATAATTTAATATCGATTGAAGACCGTACTTAATATTGGAAGAAATTTCCACATAGCAAAATGTTGTTGGTAAGGCTTTAGAACCATATAATAAGATGCCAGCAGATTGGGCAAGCAATATGCGGTTCTTCCTTTTTTAAAAGAGGATGACAAAATATTTATTAATTATTTCTTGTTATTTGAGTCTAATTGGAACAGAAAACAATATTAGGAGTATTATATATGGCATCACTTTAAAATATAAAAGGAAAAAAAAAGAATGAAAATGGAAATCATTTTAGAAAATGATAGTAATTTTTTTAAAGAAAACAAATCAAAATCTGACATAAAAAAACAAATGAATAGAATTTTTTGGAAATTGAAAAACTCGAATCGAAACCGAATTAAAATTCGAAATGTCATTATCATAGTTTTAATTATCGCAATTTTAATGGAAATCAGACCAAACCTCTTATTGTTATACAGTTCTGTTGTGTCATTATATGTTACACATGCATAAGTATCTGCAGTTGGATACATGCGTCGATCTTTTTTGCTAAAGATACTCTCTTTGTTAAAAATAAATTTTAAAATATTTATTATGCATAGACTATGCGATACAATTATAAACCATTAATTCCAACAAAGGAAATGAAAGCATTTCTCTTTGTAAATAATGGCTCCATATATATATATAGTTGTAGATTCTGCCTCCTTAGGACTTGCAGACACCTTCCGAGCATTTTTGCAGGCAGACATGCATTTTGGAAGCATCTGCACAATTTGTTTGTCACAATAAATACACGTTAATTAGAAGAGGGAAATAACAAAAAAAAATATTAATTAGACGTATAGATTTCGGGCTCGATATCGTCATTTTTACGTCCTAAATTGTTATCGAAGATTATGGAATCATTTTTTTTTTATAATCCGGAACGGTGGCTGACCCAGAGAAAATAATTAGTGGGAGCAAATAATGAAAAACAATTTTTTAAAAAGAAAAAAGAAAGAAAGAAGGAAGAATTAGGGGTACACAACAAATTTTGATGGGGCATGTTACATTTTTCATTAAAATTTTATAAAATTATAATTGAAATGAAATCTTGTATTGGGGCATAGAACCCCCACTCAAATATGAGTGGATCCGCCCCTGATCCGAAAGTTCACCGGGTCTTTGACCCGAGAATCGGAGGATGTTTATGTGAATGTCTCTCTCCAAGTGAGGAGTCGAACCTGGGTTGGGAAGCGGATTCGTTTTTACCGGAAAAAAAAAGGAAAAACAAAAGGGGTAAATGAAAAATGAATTTACCGTTCAAAGAATCAGCGCACGAGTTTAGGGCACATCTAAGGGTACAAATCCCAGACGGATCCAAAGGGACTTTGCTGATGTGACGTATAGATTTCGGGTTCTTGGCGTTAGGATCGGACCAACACTTTGACAAACACGTGAACGGGCATTTTGCGTAGGCGGGGTCTCCTGGTGGCGCGCAGGTTTCGACACAATTACTGTAACAGTCGCCGAACCCGGCAGAGGCTGTGTTCGTCATTATCAACACAAACCCTAGAACCGCCATTATTAGGGTTTTAGACTCCATCTTCTGTAATTCTCTCTTGATTTCTTGATTTTTTTCACTTTTGTTTGTGGGTTTGTTTTTTTTCCAAGGGGGGCAAGGTTCGATTATATATATATATATATATATATATATATATAGCAGGTTTTGCTATTTTTTTCCTTTTTCCGTGAATAGTATTTGCTAATTTGTTTTACTATCTCGAGAATTTCTTTTTTAATAGGTCTATCCATTTAAAGTTGGATTCTAGAAATCGTGTTTGGTTTCGGTCAAGATTTAGTTTGACTAAGCCATTTTATTTTTTGGTTCCCGAATTCAGTTTTATCTTTAGTTTGGAAATTCAACTTATTTTGAGCTCTTTTTATTACGATATTATATATTTAGTTTCTATTGGGTTTCTATTGTTTGTTTTGTCATCTGCTATTGTTGAATTTCTTTTTTGAAAGTAAACAATGATTGGAAGCAACTATTTTTGGTCATTCTACCTATAGTTTATGCACTTTCAGCATATTGTTTTGCAATTTGTTATTGGATTGTTAATATATATATATAAATATATATATATATATATATTTATATATATAAAATTACAAGTATTATTTTGTGATATTTACTACATCTGTTTGACGAATTGTTTTGGTTCATATAAATATAATTAGATATAGTTATTTTATTAATTTACCTCTTTGTAATGTAAGAATGTGTATAAAATTAACTCATAGTTTTGAATTATGTGAATGCCATATATAACTAAAAAGTAATTTTGATTGGTGAAATAACTAAAAAGTTCCAAAAAAGTGTCAAAATATGTATATTGTGTCGGATGCATTACCAAATATAGAATTATTGGCCACAGGTAAAAAAAAACTATCTAGAGAAATGAGCAGCTCGTATTTAAAATGCGTGACTGGTTTGGTTTTAATTTGGTTCGATAATTTGAATATTTGGGACTTGGTTTGGTATGGTTCTTTTATATACAATGCTTCAATTAATAACGTATCAATGATAATTACTCAATTCCATTAGAATTCTCCCTGAATTCAAAATGACATGTATGTTTGATTCATTTCACTCTGTTTTAATCGGAAACAAGGTAATAATTAAAAGGAACCATTTGATAATTGGTTATTAAGCCATATATGATAACATATATATAAACAAAAAATATCATTTGATATTCGACAAAAATATTTGATATCATATATAACATACTATATATATATATATAGTACGTGAGTTCCCGCTTAGGACTTGCAAATATCATTCTCGCAATTCCGAAGGCAACGATCCAGCTTGACAGGATCTGCAAAATTTTACATGATCTAGGATTTTAGACAAGAGCTTTTAATTTCAAACCTAATTCCCTCGCAAATATGTCATTATTAACAATTTCATAGCTACACACACAAACACTCTTCAATTGATTCAAAACGAATAATATTTTAGATTTCCTCACGCATATTAAGAAGCAAAATGAAATCCTAATATGTCCCCAAAAGTGCGAAAAACCCGAAATTTATCATCAAATTTTGAATTGAAATCATGAAACCACAGTACTGTTCTGAACAAAAACATTTTCACATCTCAAACTAAATCAAGAAAAGAGAGATGGGATGCAAGTTACCGGGTGAGGAACGAGGACAAGTCATGGCACAACCAAGATTACAAAACCCGGACCGATCCCATTGGATTTTGCGAGGTTTGTTTTTGGACAATCGATTAAGCATGATGCTGAATTGATTTGGTCCGAACAAGCAATTGTGGGCACAAGGAAGGACGCATCCTCTATTGGCTCTGAGCATACAATCGTAGAAACAATCTCCGAAGCAGTCTTGGAAAGGCCCGGCCGATGCTCCTCCCATCAACACGCCGCTCATTACCAAACTAAACCACACGATCGTGGCTAAGCTTTTTGTTTTATTACACCCCATGTTTTTTTTTTGTTTCTTTGCGGAAAATTTTCAAATTTTTACTTTTATATGTACACGTTGTTGCTAGTTTTAATTTTCCTGTAATAGCATTTTTTTTAAAGTTTTTGTTTTTCGGTCTGAGAATTTCATTCCTAATTAAGCTTGGTAACTGTTAGAATTGGTTTTACTGTTTTTGTGAAAGAATTGTTTTTATAAAAATTAATATTCATTTTGTTAATATTATATAAACTAATTAAATAAATAAGGCTGATTTTAGTGTTATTAAAATCACCTCACTCCAATGCTATTAATCATATATATATATATATATATATGAATTCGATAGTTATTTTCGTGTGTCTCTTATGACGTTTGGGTATTTATTTGTGTATGTGCATATACATTTAATGGTAGCTATATTTTTCGTCTTTGTTGTGAAAGAATATCTAAAAACTTTGACCCGATTAACTCAAAAAATAATTTTATAACTCTTTATATATATATACTTCTTCGAGAATTGTCTCAAACGACTCCTAAAATTATTTAGGAACAATACTTTGCGAGAATGATATTTGAAAAATATCAAATGGAAGCTACACACCTATATATTATATTGCTACAATTTGTTGGTTTAATTAAAATGTAGATTTGCGTTGATTTTTTTTCTCTCTCTCTCTCTCTCTCTTTTTGCATGAGCCGTTTTTTTTTTTTTTTGATAACGGTAAATCGATTAATCAACAAATTTAAGTTCTTTTACAGACCCGGCCGTTTGTCGAAAACTAGCCCCTAAGGTACGGATTCCATCAAAAAAGATGATAACAAAGATTAAGTAACAAAACCAAAATTAATCCCTCAAGAATTGTCGGATCGATGTTGTCTGAAGTAGCCAAAAGTCCTCCAAAGTGTTTCCCGTTGAAGGCAACACTGTCTCCCTTGAAATGATGATATCTCTCACCAATCTGTCTAGTTCAAAGCGTATCTTCCCAATAGAACATTATTCTCGTCGAAAGATCCGACGATTCCTCTCCCTCCATATAACATAGGATGTCGCCTGCATGACAAGTTTTGACAACTCTCGCTTCGGCGAATTTGTGCCATCATTTTGCCTTTGCAACCATAAATCACAACCAGCTAGGGACGTAGGAGGCGACGAGTATAGTACCGCAGAGAACAGTCCCCAAACCTGCATACTATAATCACATTCAAAGAACAAATGATTATGGGATTCAGTTGCGTGTTGGCAGAGTACGCATGTGGTTTGGATTCCCAACCCCCAGCTAGAGAGTCGGTCCTTGGTGGGAAGCCTATGTAGAAAAGCTTGCCATAGGGTGAAACTCAGTCGCGGAGTTGACAGCTTGCTCCATACCAATTTGGTCCAAGGAGCCTGGGATATTCCTCTAGGCCTGATCATCCGCCACGTCGCTTTGGAGGAGAATTTATGGCTGAAGGAAGAGTCCGAAGTCTTCCACTCGTACTTGTCCTTCCCCGCCCCATCTGTCGGAGGAGTTATAGAGGTAATTCGAGCTAGGATCGCTTGGACAGCAGCAGAACGAGCCCCCGGGAAGTGCCATTCCCCATTCCGAACTATCTCTGACTTTCGCATATAATGGAATCTTTAGTACTCGAGGACCATTAGCACCTGTAAGCTCAATCAAAGGACCCAAACCTGTCCAGTTTTCGTTCCAAAAATCAACATCTCTCCCGTCCCCCACGGTGCATTTAATGAGTTTCTTCGCCTCTTCCCGAAACCCTAACAGTTTCCGAAGGTGAGCAGAGTGCCTTTGGGATGATATAACTCCCCAAAATTAATCCCTCATGAGCCGTTCTTTGGTGAAAAGATTAAAAAATATTTATTAACATTGATGTGATTACAAATACAAATAACAGATAAAAGGAAAATCAGTTTCCTCAATCTTATGGCTCTTCGAATTTCTGCTTAAAGCTTGCAAACTCCTTCAGCGCAGCTCTTTATGCATGCATTCACCTTGATAGAATCTGCCTAGGAATATATACAATATGAAGAATCTAAGTCCCGTAAATGTATTTAATTAATACAACCTTAAATAAGAAAAAACTGTCATAGTTTAGGTATTAATTTATCCAATTTGAAAAGTTTGGATTTTTTATTACATTTTCCCTTATGGAATAAAGAGATAAGTATCAATATTTATATATACGTCTATATATAACCGAAGGTGTTTAGTCTTGAATCTATCCGAGAAAGGAATAATTGAAGATTTAGACTTAACTTGCAAATAAAACGTGTCTATGTTCTCTGCCTTAGGACACATAAAAGTGATATGTATCAATATGAGTATTTTACTCCTACGCAAATGATTTTTGAAATAATTTAGAAAATAGATTTTTTGGACAATTTTGCGGTCGGAAAAGATTCTAATTTTTTTAAAACGATATTTTAATTTTTTTTACATGCTAATCGTTTTGTACACATTTATTGAAAACATTTATTCTATTTTCACTTAATTGGTTGTTTTTAAAATAATTAGTTAATTGTTATCGAGAAAAAGTTCACTTTTTTTTAGTAAAAACATAGGTCCTCTTTTGACTTGATCTGTCAATATATATACATATCCATGATAAGTCGTAGGATTGGATTTGAGAAAATGGAAGAGAAAAAATCTTTGAGATTAATATGTTTCAATAAAATTTAATTACAATATAGTATAATGACTAATGTAATATTTTGTTTAATAATCCGTAAATTTACTAGACTTTTGGTACAACTATATCTCTCACATCTACATTTTCATCAGATCGGAGAAGTCCAAATAAATATCGTTCTCCAAGTTTGGATTTGGATCCGGAGTAAGAGTATGTTTTGCATATTTTCTTACCATTAGACTACCGAAATCTGATTAATATAATATGATGATGTATGACAATAATGAAATGTCTTGTGCAGAAGGAACGGTTCATGTGCTATATTTTTTTTACTACTACAATTTCTTCTCGTGTATGCGCCTGTAAAGGCATTCCATTTCTGTTGTTGAAGCATCACAAAACAAACATTTGGAAGAGAAATAGATCTGTACGTATGTGAAGAACCTTTCTTATTCAACAAGAAATCTATTTTGTGTCTAGGGTTTCTTTCTTGATTCGACAGAAATGGTGTAGTTTGAGTTCTGAAAAATGATGTTAAGTATGTATTGTAT